CTCTGACAGACTATTGTCGCTGTTCATGTGCATATGCCATGGATGTGTGGTCCTCTGTGACTTGCGGTTGGCTCTCGCTTGAACCACTGTCGCAGCATCGAACGCTTTTGTTTCGTCCGGTATCAGAAACGTTGGTATTATTTGCGTTCGGCACATTTTCTGACGGATATATTACGATTTCGGCAGACTGATGTGACGCTCCGTTTCAGAGCCACCTGCCGGGCTTCTTTGACCCGGCGCCGGACACCGAGAAGAGCCTGCAGGTGGAGTACCTGTTCCACAACGCGCGGCACCAGGTGACCGTGGCCGACACCGACCCGCTGCGAATACCCAAACCATGTGAGTCACCGGGCCGCGAGTGTACCGTCTGTCAGGCCGTACACACAGTCGCTCATCGACAGTCTATAGTCTCAATCAGTCCATAATTATATGTGTGGGCAACTCACATTTAGCATCAAAATATGTTCGTAAGCCGTTCAAACTTACTTCGAAGTTCTATTTGCTGCTGACACCGTCAAAGCGAAACTATGACGCAATGAGATACAATGTCGGATTTGCATTATGCTCAGAAATGGTGTGTTCTCACTCACTCACTCACTCACTCACTCACTCACTCACTCACTCACTCACTCACTCTTATCACCCACTCACTTTCCTCTTCTCTTGCAGCTCATCGAACAGAATCGTGACCCCAGTCAGTCCACTAGTCGACTAGTGCAATGAGCCGTACCGGCGTGCGCCCACCCCCGGCCAGCCTGGCGCCTCGAGCCGCACGCTGTGGCCGGACCGGCGCTGCCGCCTGGATGATACCAGGCCCACATGAGCGACTGCCGATTACGCAATATGGTTCACAATACACGAGAGCGAGAGAGCGAACGACGCCACTGTTTGTATCGTGCCAGGGAGCTGTGAATGGGCGCTGGTGTAGTCAGTGGGCACACGGGGTAGTTGTACCCCTGAGGGGTCTACGAGGTTCGTAAATATAATTTTCCGTTACCGAGTTACTGTGGTTGTTGGGTTGATGGATTAATATAACTCGACGCACAAGATCAGGTCGGGTTCGGCTGAACGGGCTGATTGCCACTAAGTACCACTTCAAATGATTTTCCAACCGGGTGGTGAGTTGCCTGCTTCACAGTTGTGGCATGCATCTGATTTGCATAATGGGACATTCGGAGCAGGTTCGCTACCACTAGGCACTGGACATGGCCAGAGAATCTTAGCCGGGATTTGGGCGACGATTGCGCCTGCGGGCTTGTTCGATCTCCTGGAAAAGCTTCAGAGCGGAGGCATTATGCGCGACTATTTTGGATCATACACCTGTACGATTCTGGATCATAACTTCAGATAATGTCGTTCATGTTTTGGTCGTAGAAGTAAATTAAACTTCACCAAAAGACTGATGATGGTACTGAAACGTGCCGAAACCGGTCTGGAATATGATAACTGCCTTGAGCTGTCTTCAGATAATGCTGTCATTCGGACAGCGATTTTTTATTTTTCGTATTTTCCAATGCCTTTACGTTTAATGAAACGAATGCGGTTTGAAATTCGCGAGCGTAATGGCACTAATTGTTTTCGACGCTAAATCTTGATGACGCTAGTGCATGACGCTAGCTAACTATTGCGAATGAGTAGCAAGATGAGTAGTCGCTTGGGTGATATTTTAAGCCAAGGCACGATAATTCTGATCGCCAAATCTTATATAACTATTCTATTTTTTGTTCTATTTGTTTTCCCTTTTCCATTCCGATTTTGTTGACGTCATTTTGAGACATTCAAGACGATAAAGCATGTGATTCATGTGATTGGCATCCTTGATCACTTGTTATTGTTATGGTTCGTTTGCGGCGTTTGCGCCGCTGTCAGTCTTTGAGCCCCGCCTCCCGTGTGTGTTGGGTGCTGTCATTTTACTCTCCTGGTTCCTATTATCTTTTTGTCCTACAGTACAGCGCACCTTTATAGTTTACCAGATTTTATTACAATTAGGGTTCTTAATGCCATGATTATTCCTGTGGAGTTCATGATGTATTGACATGAACTAAGCATCCCTTTTCTGGATGTCGAACGAAGTTGAAGTTCCTCATCAGTTGTGAAGCATCAACTGAAGGCTGAAGCTACAGCTCAAGGTAGGAATCTGTTTCTGTTTATATGCTGTAAGTTTCATTCAGGTCATTAACGCTGTTGTAAAATCTCTAGGGAATTTGGCAGGCACATGGGTCACATGGGTCAGACACAGGTCAGACAGACACATATGACGAGACCCGACTGACTGGAAAAAATGCACGCTTTCGTCGAGAACTCGAGCGTAGTTGGGCGTTTGCGCCGAAAGTTTTCGGCGTACTTCGGCGTAAATCGACGGCTTGCGCCGAAATTTTTGGCGTACTTCGGCGTAAATCGCGAAAAAAAACGTCCGGGGGTGGCACCAACCCCCTCGGCCGGCGAGGATTAAATGTCTTCGGGAGTTAAACATCTTAGATATCACTTATCTTGTCTCGTGTTCGTCTCAGGGTATTTAAGTCATGTTCAGTGAACCTGATTGCGACTCTCCCACGGCGGGAACAGTTCACCGATCCAGAGTGAGGTTATGGATTGTCGGATCCCCTAGTTCAGATAACGTATGCTATCGTGTGCGTATTGACCGTTGTGATTCCTGTATTTCCGGCGTGTGGTTTGTGAGCGGACGCTGGCAATCGGTCCCGCGTGGCCTGGTATCTGCCCGATCCCATCGGCCGTGCTTGCACCACGCCTGTTGAAGGCCCCGTCAGGCGTCAGTCACCGGCTGGGCACTACTGCTGATCAGAGCCGGGCAACAAAATAAAGGTTACGTTATGGAACATGCCAGTGAGTTTGTGAGTCAGGAGATTTTGTGATAGCGAACCCTGGTGCTCGGTCCCGCATGGCCTGCTGATGTCTTTTGTCTGCCCGATCCCGTCGACCGTGCCAACAACCGTCTGTAGACAGTAGTCACTGGAAGACAGTCACACACACACGCCAGCCCCCCACCCCTCGACGAAAAGTGCGTGGCTACAGCCTGCAGCCATCAGTAAGCCTTGAAAATTTTCGGCGCATGAAGCATGGCTTGGTAAAATAATTTCGGCGCATAAACCCTTGCGCCGAAATTTCGGCGCATCACCTCCGCCGAGAACTTCAGCGTAGTGGAGGCATTTTTTCCAGTCGGGTGACGAGACATGTTGTGTGGATGTGTACCCAGGGCCCTGTTTCACCGCCCGACCCTGCGCGCGCAGCAGCGCACTGGGAGCTGAGGCATACCCCTGACGTCACTCGAATGACGTTGCGTATCCGTTAGCGTATGGTGAATCACGTTTCGAACAGAGACCTTGAAGAACCTAATACCAATTGAAAAGAAGTTTGAGTGCGAATACTGCTAGCGTGCGGACGGTGCTGGCGCCGCGGTGCGAGCGTTTTGCGATGACGTCAAAGCGTAGCGTCAGAGGGAAGTTTGTTGATAAATTGCCATGGAAACCCAACGCGCCGACGCCGCGTGCGCAGCACACTGCAGTGCTCTGCCGTGAAACAGGGCCCGGGTATCATAAAAGTTTTAATTTTGTTGCTTATGTATTTATTTGTTCCTTTTGTTTCCTTTGGCCTTCAGCAAAACATGCAGGGTTTATAGATGGAGATGGCTGTTGAAGCTTGGCTAACATTTACAATCAATGGATGTTGATTGCATGGTGATCAGGTTTCGAGAGACACAACAGTAACACAGGACGCAGAGAGGCATATCACAGTGAAATACTAGCTCACAGTTCAGACAATGAGAAACACATTGGCTGGCTTGGCTACACTGCAGGCCAGGTTTATATAGCCTTGGGCCAGGTAGTTTTAGACAAGGAGCTCCTGGACAACTCGGTATTTATTTAGGACGACGGTGAAAACAGGGCGCCTGGGGCGATTTGATCAAGGTTCGTTAAATTTACACGTGACGTTTGGCATATAAAGTCCCATAGAGCGGGAGGAGTTCCAAATGTCACGTGACTAATAAGCCCTCCGGCGCCCTGTTTCCACCGGCGTCCTTTATTTACTTTTGGACCGGCAGCCTTTACTTTCGTTGCGAACCCCCAAGTGACAAGTGAAAGGCATGTTCCAGATCTCGCTTAGGATTTAGGAACATGTAGAACTTGAAAAATTGAGCCGAGGTCATCGGAGGTCAGTGACCTGACCTGACCTGACCTTCAGGTGATGACCGTCACCCACCAAAATGCATTAGACCAGCACCATTGCACATGTTTGAACGTTTAAAACCACACAAAAAGACTGCAAACGCGCGGATAATACTTTATGAGCCGACATACGCCGATTGCGATTTCGGCCAAATATGGTCTCGAGAAATAGCTGTCACAGGTCAAAGATCATTTGGGTCAGAGGCATGAAGTTTTCTGGGTAGGTACTAGCCATTAGGTGTTAAATTGATTGACTTGGGGTACTGAATGTTTCGTCGCGATTAGCCGCTTTTTACGCGAGTTATTCGCGAAAAAGAACGAGGGGGTCCGTTCGACCCCCCCCCCATAAGTGCGAGGGTTAAGATAAGAGCTGGAAAGTACCAGCCCCGTCCGTTTTACTTTTACTGAGGTTGCATGAGCAAGTAAAGGCGTATCAGGAACGGAGTTTCCTATTGGCTCAGCATTGTGATTCGTTTGTAATACGCATTTATTGTGGGCATATATCCCTGGGCCCTGTTTCACCGGTGATAGCAGCACGCTGCTTTTACACGTGTCAAATTGGGTTTCCATGGAAACATCAACAGGCCCATTGCTCCAACACTACCACAAGTGTGACGTCAGCTCGCGCAATTTGATAGCAGCGTGGTAGCAGCGTCCCGTGAAACACCGCCCTGGTCATTGTCCCCCCCCCCTCCCTGAGCGTGACAACACGAAGACGGAGGAGGACGAGGCAGACGCGCCTCAACTGTAGGGGCCGGGCTGGCCGGCTGAAGCCTGACCCGACCGGTCGACGCCCCGGGGCGGGTCAGGTGCCTTGGGTCAGGTGACCGCGGCCGGCCGGGAGCGGCACCGGCGCCGAGGGCCAGTTCGCACCGGGACGGGGCGGAGAGCGGTGCAGTGGTGCGGGCTGCTGTTGTGTTATTGCTGTTTTCTTTTAATCGTTTTTTTATGTGTATAACGGTACACATTATTTGCTTTGATGTGAACTGTATTCAGTGCGTCTAAGGAAGAACGTAACTGTTGCGCAGCGATAGTGATATTTAGAGTGTTGAAGCGATCAGGTGAACACATTCCAATCCGACTTACAAAGAGTGAATTGAAATGTGAGTTCATTGCGGGTGCCGTCTGTCGAAGTACCAACATAAGAGTTATCGACCGCTCGTTTTCTATTCCGTGTTCAATGTATATTTGATGCCTATTTTATTAGGAAAATGCGCTATCGATGGTGGACTCGCACGAAGAATGTAGTAGGTACCGAAAAGGACAAACTTATCTCACGAGTCTTATTTTGCATATCACCTTTGTTGGTTTTGGGCGTTACGTATAGTTTGCCCATTTTGATTTTGAAGAAAAATTTATGCAAGATAAACGCTTTTTTAAACGTTGATGAAAAGGCTTCACTTTCCTTTAACCCTCGCCGGCACAGGGGGGGGGGGGTTGATGCAACCCCCCTAAGGTTTTTCACGAACGGAATAACTCGCGTAAAAAGCGGCCGATCGCGACGAAACTTTCAGTACCTTCGCATTGATCAATTTTACACCTACCCTTAAAATTACATGACCCTGACCCAAATGACCTTTGACCTGTGACCTCTTTTCCGAGACCATGTTTGGCCGGAATCGCGATTCGGCGTATGTCGGCTCGCATTAGCCGCGCGTTTGCAAGCTTTTCGTGGTTTCAAACGTTCAAACATGTGATTTGATGTTGCTCCCATGCATTAGGGTGGGTGTCAAGGTCACCTGAAGGTCAGGTCAGGTCATTGACCTTTGGTGACCTCGGTTCACTTTTTCGAGTTTTACATGTTTCTAGGCTAGTTTTTGGAGCTGAATTCGAATTTAGCAACCATTTGAACATTTACGAAGTAGTTTTGGTGCCTTCGTAACACGTTATAAAGCTGTCAGAGGCGGATGATGGGTACTACGAATACCCGTTACGACCCCTACCTGTTGACCTGACCTGACCCGACCGGGTCTAAATGCTTAACGACATCATCTCTGATCAAAACTTATATGATATTCGTGATCAGCATCCCGAAAAACCCCATGGCAATCACACTTTACGACGTTCTAACAGGCCCCGATTTTCCCGACTTTTGGGTCATTGACCTGACCTGCAAGGTCAACCGATGACCTAGGACCTTAAAATTGGGTATCATCGGCTTCGTTTCGTGACGGGCAACACGCTCATTTTTTTCCCGCGAAGCTCTAGCTCGATCAGGGGCGAAACGCGAGGGGGGGGGGGGTCGTACCAACACCCCCCCCCCTTGTGCCGTCGGAGGACGCGAAATGGTCTGTGCCGGCGAAGGTTAACAGTTATGCTGACTTATCTTTGATTTCCTGAGGTGTTGGAACGGTGTTGCTGACGATCAACACGTGTTTTTGTCAGCGATGGCCGCGGCCGGGCCGGGGGAGCGCCGGGGCCAGTCGGTCGGGACGCGGCTGACGGTGGCGGCGCACGCGCCTCTGGCCGCCGGCCATCATTGATCGTCGCCGGGCCTCCGATCCGGCCGGGGCCGTCCGTCGAGCGCGCGCACCGAGCCGACCTCTGCAGCCCGACCACCGGACTGGACTCGGCAGTGAATTCAGGTGAGGACTGCTGTGGTGTTTGATTCCACACACATCTTTGTATTATGCTTCATATGCGGACGATATTCGTTGAGGAATTACCGGTATGAAATTTATTGTAATTAGTAGGTATGTCAACAAACAGTGAACACCATATTTGGCTAGGTATAAAATGATATCGATCGATTTGAATGATGTTTGATATTTGTTTCATACCAATGTTTTGTTTTTTAACTGGAACATTTTAAAATTTTGCAAAGATGCGGAGTTTAGCTGCTATATGAGTGATTCAGTAACGGGGGAATTGCATATTGGCATGGATGCACGATTTGATACAACTCCGGCGTTTGCTCCAGTATAACACTCTAAACTATTTGAAATGACTAGATCCGAAACTATGCAGTGCAAGATTCCATGGAGGCCCGTGTGGCATTGTTTACGTCGGTGAAGGCCTCCGCCATCGCGGCTGTGGCGTTAAAAATCAATCGTGCCGTAAGTTCCGCGCGTAGGTATTGCAGTCTTCCGTTCCGACTGTGCGACTTTGTCAATCATCATTGTTAGTGTTCTTACCAGTTATTAGTGTTTTTAGCTAATCATTCATTTACAGAAAATGAAAGTCATTTTACCATTACATAAAATAATATGAACATTGAACATAGGTAGTGGTATCAACCATTGGGCTGTTGATACCGTATGAGATACAGATCAAGATGGATATGATATACCTACGGATCATGTGTTTTCGTATACACATATCTGTCTAAAGCCACACACCTCTACCTATGTACATAGGACACGGAATGCATACTGCATTACTGCATAGGTCTAAGCATAACAAACACAAAGCAAAAGTCCGTGCTACTGACATTTAAATAGCTGTGCCTGCTCAGCGCAGGATTTTAAGCCTTATCTGTCGCGAAGCATATCACGCGCCGTGTAGGGGGGGGGGGGTGTTTACGTCCGTTACTGTCCCACAATAAAGCTCCTCCAGTTGTTCACCGACATAAAAAACGGCGGCGCGCATCGCAGTCATTTATAGCACACTTAACTTTCCGTATACGTTACGTATGTCTTTCCCGTATAGGTATGTGAAAACTTTGGTCTTTTGAACATATCACAGGTGATTCATCGCCCTCGCATGCTTCTGTCATGTTATTGTAAAAAAAAAAAAACGCTGTCGACGTTACCTGGCCTACTATGACCTTTCGAGTGACTGCTGGGCGTCAGCTACATATCAGCCATTACATATAGGCTGATATGTCCTGACTGAAAATATGAAGAGGTATTCGCTCACTTGTCGAAAGTGAAAGGTTTTCCTTTACTTATATATTATTTTACAATGATGAGGTGAATTGAGCCGTATCCCTGGTCACAGATGTACGAAATCCGAGATATACGAGTTGCTGGCACTTGTACTTTTATTTAGCCTCAGCTAGTTTTAATGTTGTAGGAAATAAGCTCTAGGGTCGACACGATCGCAATTTTTTAGATGTAATGTAGGGTCCCGTAACTTGACCTTATGATCTAACCCTAGGTCAACTGCGGTCAAACTTTCTACAGTGTATCTAAAATGGATGTGTTACAAGCTTAGCCCATTTTCGCGGTGATACGTGCCGTGGTTTTCTGTGCATTCGTAAAATTAGATCGTTGCCATTTTGATCTCCCTCCCGACGTTCCACCAAGGACCAAGGTGAAGTGTGAACAATTGGTAATACCACCAGGTGATTTTGCTCCAATATAAACCAGTATAGCGCCTTTTGGGGCGACTAACGGAGCGAGCGAGAGGGTGAGCCTTGCACGTGCGAAATTTCGAGGGGGTACCTCCAACTGACTTGTGCACGGCACCCTACTAACCGGTCTCTAGCGATGTGCCAAATTTGAGCACAATCGGCCCAGCCGTTCTCGAGATCTGGAAGCGGCACCCTGCACGTGCGCACGTGAAGAATGGGTCCCAACTGACTTGTGCACGGCACCCTACTAACTGGTCCCTAACCGTGTACCAAATTTGAGCGCCATCGGTCCAGCCGTTCTCGAGATCTGGAAACGACCCCTGCACGTGCGCACGTGCAGCAGCACCCCAACTCTGGCACATGGATATGCAGTGCCTAGTGGGTGCCTACCTACATGCCAACTTTCAGCGCAATCGCCCGAGTAGTTACCGAGATATTGCAACAATTATAAAACTGACACCTCTTCGTTTTGCGCGTGGCCGTGCATATGGGGTCACCCGCATGCATCGGGAATAGTCCAATACTTGGTAGAAGGAATGAAGCTACCCTACAAAAATTACCCCGTGTAAATCGGTCAAGTGGTTGCTGAGATATAAGCCTCGCAAAAGCGTCCGCACGGCCGGCCGGCCGGCCGGCCGGCCGCTCATACTCAGAAATTTCCGTTAAAGGGACCCTCCCACCTTAACATTAGTTTTGAGTTGAGATAGCCAAGTCTGCGGCCAGGCTCAGAAACCACCATTTATCCTGGTCGCAACCCTCGCAGCTTTATGGTGTTCAAGAAATTTCTTCCCTTTACTTGCAGGGTGGGACCAGCGTGGTCCCTATCTCTTAACCATTACGGGAATATGATGACGTCATCAGGCTTTCGAACGTCCGTTAAATGTTTGACTAAAACGTTTTGTAGCACGCGGCGGTATATGCTGCTTTGCGCGCAACAAATGCCGCACTTTCAAATAAAGTCGCTAGGAACAGCGGAGATCCCAAAAAGTAAACAAAAGTAAAAGTCTAATATCTTGAAAACCGGTGAATATTTTTCGATGAAATTTGGTAGATATTCGTTTTTGCTCTTTCTGAACCGAGCGACATCACTTTCATGCCAATTCATTAACTTTTTTGAAGGTGGGAGGGTCCCTTTAACCCTATTCCTGGCGGGCTCCGCCGGGACAAGAAACTGGCGGGGGGCCGATTCGGCCCCCCCCTTCAGATCTCAAAAACTACACATCGCAGCGACAAACGGCGAACGGTGTTTGATAGGTCGTTTAAAGATCTACAACTTTTACATAAAACATTTTCAGGTCAGGTCAATATTGAGGTCACCAGTGGTCATCAACGATAAAATGTTTTGGAATTAGTTACCTATATAACTTTTAAACTAAGAAACATAGAGACATAAAACCAATACATTTTTTGTTGCTCTCGCCGAGGCGATGCGAAATAAGTATGTGATGACCTTCACAGGTCAATTTAAAATTTGACCTGAGGTCAAGGTCAGGTCATTCATCAATGAGGTTGTGGGGTATGGTCATGCTGCATACCAAACGACGCGCCTTGACCAGGCGAGCAGTTTGGTACCACTTACAAGTCTTTAGCACCATCATGTCGTGATTTATTGACAGAAAAACGATTTATGACGTCACATGACCTCAGATGACCTTTGCCGGTGCCCCTGTCAATTAGCGGCACCAGGATCATCACCGATGAGATAATCTTCCATAATACTGAAAGAACTGGGTGGTTTTGTCTCGTTTACACGAAGCAGGAGGCGTTTCAATATTTTCCCATAGGCTTGCAATGTAAAGGTCACGAGTCTGGCCTGACCTCAGGTCACAGATATGAAAATTCTGAGATATACAAATTGCACATACTGGTACCCTCACTAAAGCCTGAAGAGAAGAAATTGATCGGTCAAAAACTCTAGCTCTGGCGTGATTGCAAACTTTTCTGAGGTAGGGTCACCAAACCGCCTCTGCCCTCTGGTGACCTGACCTGAGGTCAGATCAACTCAAAATTTTCAGAAATGTTGCGTAAAAGCCTTTTAGAAAAAGTCAGAAAATTTGAGCTTCCTAGCTCAAAGCGTTTGGGAGATATAACCAAAAAACCTCGGGGGGGGGGGCTCCTGAGGCCCCCCCCCGCCAGGAATAGGGTTAATCTAAGGAAAGACTACGCTCGCTTCGCTCGCTCCGTAAAAAGCAGTCTTATTATTATTTCAGCGTGAATAGCGGACGTTCCGAAAATTTGAATGGTATGCCCAGCTTTGCGCTATTTCGATCGAAAAAGTTGTTAACTCCTTCAAAGTCTGACCCAAAAGCCGTTGCAATTCTAATCGCCACGCAGTTTTGACTACGAATTTATGTAGGATAGGAAGGTTGACCAGATGATACTATGATTATGACTCTAACGAAGTCATCTAAATTTATCGTAAATACCCAACAACATAGATAAGATGAAGTACCTACTGTATGGTAGGTATAAACGAGTTACTCCAGCGTAACATGGCAGTTCATGTAATTGATACCAATACGTCTGCTGTATACCGCTATATGACCCTCGCCCCTACACTATGATCTACACTGCTGTGATGGACACTGGACAGGCACAGAGGAGGTGCTTCGCAGATCGATACCGCCCTTCGGCTTCGTGGGCCCCGAGCCGAAATCGGATTAGAAGCCGGTCGGACGGGTGGTCTGCCGCTCTGACGGAGCGACACCGAATCCCACAGAACGGGGACTGTATTATATACCTACATATTATGCTTTTTATATGTAGTTACGTTCTCCGACTTCCATTTCTTTGCGCAACTAGTATTCATTAGGGTAGGGTGGGGTAATTTGAACATGTGGGGCAATTTGAACATAGTGTGAATAACAGAAAATTACGGAAAATCCATAAGTGGCATGACCATAAGACCAATGAGAGAAATTATCGTAACTAAAAGGGCTATCATATGAACGGGGTTTTAAGTTTCAGGGAATGAAGATGTTGACGCACAGTGTAAAAAATCAATTTCGCAAGGAAAAACGCCTAACAACACGTCATTGCAACTTCATTGCAGCGCAAAATCTTGCATTGCTAGCGCCTAATACGCAACGGCTTTTGTTGTATAATGACCTAATCAGTGCCGTCAATCCAAGAAATTTGCTTTTGAACCCTGTTTTTTAAAATGGCAAAATAACTTTTAGCGTGGGGTAATTTGAACATAGTGTGAGAATTTGAATGAAGACAGGGATAGCTCCGAAAAAACAACGCTCCCAGTTTTTTTTTTTGCCAATATTTTCGATCCAAGGCAGTAGCAGATAAGTGATGCCACTTTTAGAAAATTTACGTCTAATATCCGTCTAATGTCCGGCATTTTTGTTGATTTTCCGTCCAAAAATGTTAAAGTCAAATTTGTCCAAATATGTTCGAAAATTATGCAGCTATCAACACTCAAAACTGTCATTTATATTGCTTATCATGTAATTCTACCAGCCGAAAAGTGTTCATTATATTGAGAGCTTAACAAGCTTTCCATTCGCCAATCAATGCTATATGCACGATTACTTTATAAAAAGCGCTGAAGTGTAGCAAGCCATCGTCCAATGCTGTCCAGCCTGCTACCTTTGCCCAACCAATTCCGAATTGGACATTGGACAAAATCAGAACTCCAAATGTCCAGGTTTCGATTGGCACCACTTTAACAGATGTAGTACGGTTGGGAGAGTTTTTATCGAACAAAAATGATAGACGTTCTGTTAATTGAAGAGGGGCGAATTCTGTCAACTGACCGGTGTGCAGCGTGCAGATATAGATACTCTGCAACTGTTATTTTTGCTGTTGTGTTGATTTTTCAAGTGAAGGTATGTTTAGAATTGTTCTGCCTATTTGTTTATGGGTCAAACAACATCGGTGCTGGCGAGACTATCGTTTTTATGACAGGTAAAGGCAGTATGTTCAAATTACCCCACGGTGGGGCAATTTGAACACACCGTGACTTGGTGGAAAAGTGAGGCTATGCTATTCAAGGTATGCTCGGCTCGTCCAAAAATGAGACTTGCATGGTGAAAGCAAGTGACACTTGCGCTACTGAAGCAGTTTTTCTTCATCCAGGGTTGAACTGGAATTTGGTACAACGGAGAAGACGTAAAAATATGTTCAAATTACCCCACACTACCCTATCTTAAATCCATCGCATGCCTGCTACTTGATTCATACCTATTTTATCTCTGTACTGATAGGCACAAGGATGCCTAATCCCAAGTGTGTGACATTTCATATGTGCGAGATCCTATCTGTACTGCCGATAATATTACGAGTCACCGCGTACCGGCTCAGACGATAGTGTGTCCCCGTGGTCTGTCAGGGCGCGCCCGGTCGACCTGTCGCGTCTGACACCGCCCGGGGCGGTCAGGTGTCAGGTGTCGGGCGACAGGGCTGCGTGCGCAGCGTTACGGCCGCCGCCGCGGTGCTTCTGCCGGCTCCGCCCGTCGCGTGACTGGTGTCTGTGCCCTGCCGCGCTGGTGACCGCTCCGTCCGTCTGTCTGCCGCCAGCAGCGGCCGGAGGTGTGCGCTCCCCCGGTGGCTCCGCTAACCGGCCACCATGCTAGTCAAGGAGTACAGAATACCACTGCCGCTGACGGTCGAGGAGTACAGGATTGCACAGCTTTACATGATAGCGGTGAGTACCGAATCTGTCCCATCCTTGGGCGCCGATGACCACTGTAGTCCGGGCGCCCAAAAACCCCAATTCATCATCATCATCATCATCTGTCCCATCCTTCATCGTATCAGTGTTGCATCTTTATTTCTATGATTTTATCTATCATAACCTCTGGTTACGGGGTGACCGAGTGATTAGTAAATTGCCTTCTAGCACGCTCCGTAATCGTTGGCAAAACATTACTGAAGTGCGATAATTCTGCTCACTTAAAATATTATTTAGCGCCCAAGCAGTTTGGTCCCTCCAAACACATACGCACAAACACTGTTTGTCCAGGCTAGGCTCAAGGATTCGTTTTTGTTTGGTATTTTAATTTCTTAAAGACCGGCGATTCTCACCATCTCGGCTGCTCCTTTACATATTTAACGCACACTCGTCACATGCGACACAATGCACACCATCTTGTTATCTTTGAGAAAGACGCTATGCTTTTTCCGTGGGTGGGAAGAACAGTCAGTGGATACGTTTGACTGAAAAGTGAGGGTTTCCATTGCACAATGACTACATGGTTCCATTACTGAAGGCAGGCTTTCATTAGTCATGCTATCTTGGTCACCATCTCGTAACGTTTTATGGTACGTATTACTGTGGCTGAGCCGTGATTGGGCCAGTGCTTCACGATAAAGAAAATGATATCTGCTTGGCTACATTTTTTCGTCAATGATAAGACATGTCTGATACTGATACCTTACCACCATAATTGTAACCTTTGAATGATCTCAGAACCAGTCTTCACATACCGTTACGTGCGTCATAATCTCCCGATCCGACAATCTACGGCGTACTTTGTTACAGAAAAAGAGTCGGGATGAGACTCACGGCGAGGGCAGCGGCGTGGAGATCCTCGTCAACGAGCCGTACCAGGACGGGCCCGGCGGCAACGGACAGTACACCCACAAAATCTACCACGTCGGCAGCCATCTGCCCGGTGAGCTGCCGGTGCATACTCGCTCGTTTGGATGAGCCGAGAGGTTCTTTGGCGATTCTGGTTGTTACTGATATTGTAGGCGTTATCATTTACATGCCCAACTGATTCTTATACATTATTGAAGAAAATTAATGATAAAAGTTTCAGCACGGTAGGTAACATGCATGGAACAACGGCAAGTTTCACTGGGCGCCCGTCATGGGTCGTCTTCGATTTATCAGTAATTTAAATATAGCAAGTGTCTTGGAATGACTCTCTAAAACAAAGGTCGGTCCTGTCATCTGCGCACCAAACTAATTTAACTCCTCGTAGTTTGTTAGTGGGTGAGGTTAAATCTCTCATCTCATACATCATTGCTTGGTGCTAGGAGACTCTGTGCAGGAAATGTTAATAAGCGCGCCATCTGGCTAACAAAAAGCTAGTTTAAGCTCGTTACGTCAATAAGGGCAGTCAGCTGGAGACGCGAGGCTCACGGTGGGCTCGAATTACATCCGACGGAGCGCAGTTTTTCTCACGTCATAATGAGCTAATCAAATATGACGTGCAGATCAAGGTTGCCAACGTTTCTGGGCGTAAATGTAAATGTTTTCAAAATTGCCGTGGGTTTACAGGTAACACCATGCTGAATGCATTGCACATTGTCATGGCTTTTGCGACTGTCCGTTAATATTGCTTTTCAATGTGTTTTGTTCATGGATGTTTCGTATTGTGACAACCTCGTTGTACGGTGCCTTGCAGGCTGGTTCAAAAACCTGCTGCCCAAGTCGGCCCTCACGGTCGAGGAGGAGGCGTGGAACGCCTACCCGTACACCAAGACGCGCTACACCTGTCCGTTTGTGGAGAAGTTCAGTCTGGAGATCGAGACCTACTACTTCAACGACGGCGGTCACCAGGAGAATGTGTTCCAGCTGAACAAGGCCGAGCTGAGCGGCAGGACAGTCGGTGAGCGATCAGTTCTGCTCAATGCTCTCTGATTCGTCCAGGCCTCGATAGGTTTCTGTCCCACGGTCTGTGCTTTTCTGCTCGATCTCTTCGTGAGTTTACTACCGCTTAACTCAATTTCTTTTTTAGAAGTAAGCGAAATATTCGACGGAAATGTGACCAATGTTGATGGTGGGCTGTGTTTGTCTGCAGACCTAATTGATGTGGTGAGAGACCAGCTGGGCATTGGCGACTACCTGCGCGAGGAGGACCCCCGGATCTACGTGTCACAGAGGACCGGCCGCGGACCGCTGAACGATGACTGGATCCAGGACTACTGGGGCGAGTGCAAGGTCAGTAATTCTTGCGACTGTTTTAGCGAACGTCAGGACGTCAGTGACACCGTTTATTGAGGGAGTTTCATGTCGGTGAAGGGATATCATTGCGTACACGTATCTACCCCCACAAGTCAGTTATACTTCAGTAGGTTATTTTGGTGTTTTGTCGCAATTAATTCAAAATCCAACCGTTTTTCGGCGTAACCTCTAACTTTATTATCTGTTTATCGAAAGGGAACCATTATTCATCACTGCCTTTGTGTTGATGCAGGGTAAGAAGACTCCTCTCGCCAACGGGAAGGCTATCATGTGCGCCTACAAGCTCTGCAAGGTCGAATTCCGCTACTGGGGAATGCAAAGCAAGATCGAAAAGTTCATTCACGATATTGGTAAGGGGAGATGGTTCGCAGAAACCATTCTAGAAGAACCATTATAAAACCCTTCCGCCATGTCAGTGACATGTGCCTATATAAAGTAGAATAGGAAACGGGATAATATGGATTATGGAACGTTTACAGCACAAGCAAGAGGAAGAAAAAAAGGAAGAGACGGCCAGTTCTCGTCTCTTTTTCAGTTATTGGCGACTTACGGATCTATAGTATTAAACCATCAGGGACGGACTACGTCACGGACCTATCAATGTTGTGGCAATTGTTGTCACCAATCACTCTTTGTCACGTATGTACCCAACATTAACGTGGCCATCATGTGGTGACGTATGTCACCACTCTGTCTTTTCGCCGCAGCGCTGCGAAAGACGATGCTGCGCGCCCACCGACAGGCGTGGGCGTGGCAGGACGAGTGGCACGGCCTGGCCATCGACGACATCCGCCGCATCGAGGCCGACACGCAGCGGCTGCTGGCCAGCAAGTTCGGCGCCACTGAGGAGGCGGCGCTGCCGGCGCCCGGCGGCGCGGCCGACCTGCCCGACCGGCCCGCCGCAGAGGGCGCGGACGCCGACGCGCGCCGCAGGGGCTGGTCCCGCAGTAGCTCACGACTCACGCTGCATTCGCCCGGTGAGTCGCGCTGGGGTTCGGTGTGGTGCGTGATATGGAGTTTTGTAAACGTGGTCTTCAACCCTGGAGGAGACTGGAGCGCTGACTACGGGCAGCTCACGGGAACTTGCAGTGTTTTCTTTTTTTTTACGAAACAACAAACATTAATATCTCATCGACAACAACACATTTTGTAGCCTTCATAGTTCTTTTATGGAGCAACTCTAGCTACAGAAATAACACTTCAGAACACGGTTTGGGACGTCACCAGGCTCCCTACGGATAATGCAGTCGCTGCCCCTATAAAGGTTTGTTGACTCCTGTTGAGTCTGCCACGGTATGTATTTTCGCCGACGGTCGCCGTATCTCAGAAACGTCCCCCGTTCGTCAGGCTCTGTGTCCGGCAAAGCCGAGCTGGAGGCGCAGCTGGGCAACTGGCGGATGGAGAGCATTCGACGAGACTCCGTCAATGGCTCATCGGACGACGAGTTCTTTGACTGCGAAGGTAATATATGTGACTGGTATCTATCAGTTGTGTAGGTTAGAATACATAGAATACGTATTCAAATGTCACGTACATCAGTGTGAATAGTCTTTTGATCCATGTCTATTCGCATACCTATTTGTGTGTGCATCTTATATTTGCATCTAGTTTAGCTAATGGGTGTCCACTTTATTGATGTTGAATTTTTAATGTTGAGAGCAGTTATGAAGTTCCAGTGTTTCACTTGTAAATGAATTGTCACCATGATTGTATCGCCGTGCATCGGCTGTGGCACAGGGCGTCATTAGCTTGACAAAGTAGTAGTGTAAAGTAGTTAGGCTGCCAACTACTTTGACGATAGTTTGTTATATTTGTAATGTTTTCAGGTTCAGTTTTTGTGGTGTTAAATCCAACTCGTTGGTTGATTTTGCGTCAGTTCCCACTTGTTGCCGCCTCCCTAGCTTATCTGAATTTCCTTGGAGTAATGGAGAATTAACGGAGATATTGAGTAGTGAGCTAACGAAAAACTAAGCGACTTTCCGAAGGTGTCTGTATTACTCTCACCCGCTCTACAAATAACGAGCGTTTTTACGAATTTGTAGCCTCTTATTTCGTGGAACGCACTCGGACCCGAAGCTCTTTCCAGATTTTGTTCTCTTGTATCATAGCTCTATCATTGTATCAAATGATGTCTTTTCTTGTCCATTCTATTGTTTAGCGTGTAAATATGCTCTGGCGCTCAGTTCTTTAATTCGTCGCATGTGCGACGAAAACGTACTACTGAAATTGGTGCGACCCACTCGGGAAAAGGTTTTGCGACGGGATAGCTGATGCATCATACATACTATCAAATGAAATGAAATGAAATCGAACGTAAAGGCTTAGTATGAATGTCAAAGCAACCCCAAACAAATTTTAATAGACGCACTTTCTGCAGAGTTGCTATTAGTTTGCTCGGTGATGAAAATACAAGTGTCATGATTTGTCTATTTTAAAATATGTATTTCATTAATCGGAAAAGCATTCAACTGGACAAATCCACCTTGTAGCATGTAGACTGTAGTTTGTAGCCGCGTTGTCTATATTCCTTTGTCAACTGTTCTATCAGAGTAAGCGTACACCAATTAGACAGGAGGTACTCAGTAGATAGATTTCGATTTATCAACCTATTGACTTCCCCTGACAGAATTTGTTTACCGTTTTTAGGTTTTATGATCCCCACAATCAAGGGTAGGTACAATCTGAATTATTGCCAACACACACGGCATGGCCTAGTTAGTGAACAGAAAAGTGCCGCGACACGCATGCGCCTTGCTGCTCTCGTGATGGTTGTCACGAAACTGACCGCTTGGCTAACTAGTTGCTAACACTGTCTGGCGGGGGCATGTGGCGGGGTGGGGCCGCTTATTTAGAACAACGCGCAATTCAGAACATATGTAAATAACTCGCAACAGACGTCGTGCTGGTGAAATTGTTATCTGCTGCTCTCACATCGCGATGGAGCGTGGCGCCATAGTCCAGGCTGGTCGGCCGCTGCTCTGGCTGGCATGGTACTCGTCTCGCGCCTGTTAGGCACTAGTCTCGCTGCTGACATTGGGCTGGGTGAAAGGAATCCAACATTGCCGCATCAGGATGTAGTCGACAGCTGTTTGCAAGACAAGGGGCGTGCTGCAGTACTGGGTTCGGGAGTGCATGGCTGAAAAAAGTGAAATGTAGTCCTTCTAGACACATCGTTTGGGAATTCGCTACGGTATTCAAACTCGAAAGTTCAGCCGCATTTGGGTGTATACTTTTACGAAGGTGATTAGCTTCAAATGGGTCAATTTTTGACCGAATATACGGAGGCTTGATAGTTGCGGCGTAATCCTTAGACTGACTATCTGGAGTCGTGATGAAAATATGAGATTGGCTCGTGATTGAAACAGGGAGATTTCCAGTACAACAAGGTACGTTGAGTTACTGTATCAGTATAAACCTCTGAAAGACACGGAGGTGGAGTTCGTAAGCTGTTTTTTATACATGCGAAACAAGTGTAGGCAATAATACCGAAAATTCATCCGCACGGTAACGGTATCATCAACTTGTGTTTACTTTGCGTTGTGTAGCTCATCAGCTGAGTATCAGTTACCCCTGCCGCTGAGGCGCTGCGACTGTATTGGGCCGGGCGGGCGCCGGCTGCGCTGCTGGATCGGTGGTCGGCCGGCCGCTCTGTGCCGTCTGCGTCAGCCCGGTCCCGTCCCACTGTCCACAGAGGAGGTGGTGGAGCGCACCACGCTGGCCCGTTGGAGCAGCCTGGAGCTCCTCTCCGACCCGCTCGGAGCCACCAAGGACGGTGAGCCGTGATCGGAGGAAACAGACAGGCCACTGGGCGCCCGCGGTAGTCATGTCATTGCCAAGTGAAACTTAGCTAAGTGTAAAAATTATAACAGCGAAGTTGGAGACTCCAAAATGAAGTGGTAGACTCGAAGCTATGCCTACCAGCTGAAGCATTTTTTTTAAGCAAAGTACCAAACCGCTTATTTCGAGAAGGGTAGTTTAAAACAACTGACAACGAATACAGATAACCCATGTTTTGACAGAACGTCTTTCAATGGGGAAAATAAACCATGTGGAATGTGCATCTGTTGTCGCTCAGACTTGAAGCCACACAGAATTGGCGCATCATCCATGTGCGTGAGGTAGGTGTGCTGACGTTATATTTATCTGTATGGGCCGACAGAGCTGTCGGCGTCGCCGGGCCTGCTCACCAGCCAGCCCTCGGAGCCCGTCAGCTCGGGCAGTCCACAGCCTGGCTCGGCGGTCGGCTCCTGCAGCTTTGAGATCCTGCTGCTGGTGCTCCACTCGGGCAGTGTGCTCGGTGAGGACGGGAGTGTTGGAGGGTGGTGGCAGGACCTGGCACCACCCTCTGTGTGGCAGGACTCAGCATTTATTAAGTGGCTCTCAAGTGTAGAGCGAGGTCCAATAATGAACTCTTGACCGGTAGTTCTTACTTCTTACTTCGGCGGATTGCATTGACAAGCATCAAATGTTGTGACCGAATTTACACAGCCTTTGTGGTTACATTGATGTCAGAACAGTGCACGTCTGAAGTCCGTAGAGGCGTGCTCCCGGTCCGCCTCCAGTACTCACGCTCTCTCCGTGTCCCGGCCAGACGCGCACACGGACCGCGGCACGAAGCGCTCGGACATCACCACGTTCCGCGCGTCTGTGGAGGCCATCGTGACGCAGCACTACCCGGCGCTGCAGGGCCGTCTCTGCATCCGACTGGTACCCTGCCCGTCAATGTGCGCAGAGGCCATCTCCGTCCTCACCAGGTCAGAGCGGAACGAGCGACGCATTTACAGAGACTTATTGACTGCTGACATCCCGAAAACATTGGTTTGGAATCCAAATCCGGGCTTCTGGTCGGCTGTGACTCTGAAACTGTTCCAAAATTATTAATTGTGTGTTAGCTCGGAGTTGGTCTGTACTTCGGTGATAATTATCGTGTTGTATGGTGATAATTCTCGACAGCTATATCGGACGCGTTGCTGACACCCTGCCTTGTTTTCCGGCAGCCTGTCGCCGTACAGTTTCACGACCCCGTGCTCGGGCGGCGGCGGCGGCGGCGGCTCGGACCAGTCTCCGCCGTCTGCCACTGACTCGCTGCCGATCGGCGCCATCCCCCTGCTGGCCGCCGCCGCCCCCGACCACCGGGAGGCGGTGGCCCACGTGGCCTCCGAGATGAACCGCGTCTACCTGGAGTTTGTCCGCTCACCAGCCGGCGCCGGCTTCCAGGGACAGGTCTCCATCATCGGTGAGGCGCTGCAGTTTAGCGGTCTGTTCTGTGTAATCTGATTATAGGTGAATTTGTATAACGGCCGGATAATGCGTCCAATTCTGAGTTGTTCCATGCATTGTTAGTCTGGCCGCAATTAAGTCGTGTGGCCAGATTCTTAAGCAGCTTATTCTCATAATTCTTAGATTATTTTATTTTCATCGTTGTTCTCCAATATCGTCACCTTCTCCTTTTTTCTATGTGATTTGCCTTTGCTTCACTCGCGGTTGGCTTCACAGTTCAGCGTTCACAATACATCCAGCATTTAGTGTTATTGCTTTGCGGTTCTTCAGTTTGGCCAACATTTTTTTCCTTGCTATATTCAATCTTGGAGTGTACTGCTTGATGCCATCGATATTTCCCATTGACACCGGGGGTACGAGGTCTACGTAGTTGATTTACACCTTTCCAACTTTTTTGTCATTTTTTCGTCATGCAAAGACGCAATGCGCCTTCAACTCGCTTCTAACTTTCGATAGCCGACTCGATTGGCTCACTGCTGGTGTACGACGTGCTGTCTGCTGCCGTACTGATGTGTTATGTCCCGCAGCCGACTCGATGGGCTCGCTGCTGGCGTACGACGTGCTGTCCGCCGGCGGGGACGAGGACGACCACCTGGCGCCTCCCCCCTCGCCGGGCGTGTCCACGTTCGCGGCGTGTCCGAGCGGCGAGCTGCGCCCCGAGCCGGGCCTGGGCGGCGCGGTCACCACCGACACAGAGTACGGTGAGTAGCAGCGACAAACTCACAGACGTACGCACACACACCAGAGGCTGCGGCCACCACCGACACAGAGTACGGTGAGTAGCAGCGACAAACTCACAGACATACCCACACACACCAGAGGCTGCGGCCACCACCGACACAGAGTACGGTGAGTAGCAGCGACAAACTCACAGACGTACGCACATACACCAGAGGCTACGACCGGCACGCGTATATTCGGATGCAGTATTAGCAGAGCATGGGTCCCGAAAAATTCTTCAGAAACTAGAGAAATTCTCGCGGGGCAGGACGTCTGTCAAACTAGCAGCGAGCAGCGAGCAGCGAGTCCAGCAGCGAGAAACGGGCCATCCCGATTTAGCTGAAAATTTGCTCACAGCGCCTTCTCAGCACGCTGATTCCGAAAATCATGGTCTCTAGGGTAGGAATCTTTACCGTTCTCGAGATAGAACCCTCTAAAGTTTTCGACACCCATGACCGGGCCATCCCGATTTGGCTGAAAATTGGCTCACAGAGCCTTCTCAGCACGCTGACTCCGAAAATCATGGTCTCTAGAGTGGGAATCTTTACCGTTCTCGAGATAGAACCCTCTATAGTTCTTACCACCCATGACCGGGCCATCCCGATTTGGCTGAAAACTTGCTCACAGAGCCTTCTCAGCACGCTGATTCCGAAAATCATGGTCTCTAGGGTGGGAATCTTTACTGTTCTCGAGATAGAACCCTCTAAAGCTCGTACCACCCATGACCGGGCCATCCCGATTTGGCTAAAAATTGGCTCAAAGAGCCTTCTCAGCACGCTGATTCCGAAAATCATGGTCTCTAAGGTGGGAATCTTTACCGTTCTCGAGATAGAACCCTCTAAAGTTTTCGGCACCAAAGACCGGGCCATCCCGATGTGACTGAAAATTGGCTCACAGAGCCTTCTCAGCAAGCTGATTCCGAAAAGCATGGTCTCTAGGGTGAGAATCTTTACCGTTCTCGAGATAGAACCTCTAAATTTCTTACCACCCATGACCGGGCCATCCCGATTTGACTGAAAATTTGCTCACAGATCCTTCTCAGTTCTCAGCACGCTGATTCCGAAAATCATGGTCTCTAGGGTGGGAATCTTAACCGTTCTCAAAATAGAAACCTCTAAAATGTTCGACACCCATGACCGGGCCATCCCGATTTGGCTGAATATTGACTCACAGAGCCTTCTCAGCATGCTGATTCCGAAAATCATGGTCTCTAGGGTAGGAATCTTTACCGTTCTCGAGATAGAACCCTCTAAAATTCTTACTACCCATGACCGGGCCATCCCGATTTGGCTGAAAATTGGCTTACAGAGCCTTCTCAGCACGCTGATTCCGAAAATCGTAGTCTCTAGGGTGGAAATCTTTACCGTTCTCGAAATAGAACCCTCTAAAGTTCTTACCACCCATGACCAGGCCATCCCGATTTTGCTGAAAATTTGCTCACACCCAGTAAACATGCCGACGTCGGCCCGACGTCGGGCCGAGGCTCGGCCCGACGTCGGCCCAACGGCGGTTCAACCTCGGCCCGACATCGGCTGAACGTCGGATATGCCCGCATGTTCCGACGTCCAGCCGAAGTCCAGCCGACGTCGAGCCGACGTCGGGCCGAGATCGTTTGCCGAGGTTGACGAGATCGTTTGTCGTTGGACCGACGGGGCCGACGTCGGCATGTTTATTGGGACAACGCGCCAAAAATATCAACCGGCGGCGGGATTCGAGCCCCCCAGTCGCCGACGTCGGCATGTTTACTGGGACAACACGCCAAAAGCATCAGCCGGCGATGGGCTTCGAACCCCATGTCATCCGAACGCGAGATTAGTGCGCTAACCACTACACCACGCAGCCAGCTAACGAGTTTGGTTTGTTTTGTTGGGTTATGCCCTTTCGGTCTGACAAGACCATATCAGAGCCGGAAGGATCATAGGATGGAGACATTGGTCTTCTTGGCGAGCACCCTGGGTCCAGTTCATTATAGAGTCCCTGCCCCTGGTCCCATTGCTGTTACGTGACACGTATTGGAAAGGCGACCCCACAATGGATTCATATAGCCACTCTTACACACCTGCACCAACGTTTCCCAAAGTGTCCCGTTGATAAGTGGCACTCTGGCAAAGTGACACTTGCCGACTGGCCTTTCTATATGAACTGGGCCCGGCCCTGGTGAGTTGCCGGGGCTGAGCCTGACCAAAGGATAGGCCGAGCAGCCCCCAAGCACTCACCGCACCCGGCTACGGGCGAGCTCGGCTTACGGGCAATCCCAAATGGGATAAAGTTTCCCGTCCAGTCCGGATCAGGGGGTTGCGGCGTGGAGGAATATTTGAGTTTCCTGAGGATATTTTGAATACAGAAGCTCTTTATGAAACATGAAACACGTATTTTATATTATTTTAACGGTCAAAACAGCGGCCGATGTCGGTCCGACGTCGCCCCGACGTCGGCCCGACGTCGGCTGGACCTCAGCAATTGATCTCGGTCCGACGTCGGCCCGACGTCGGCTGGACCTCGGCTGGACGTCGGAACATGCGGGCATATCCGACATCCAGCCGACGTCGGGCCGACGTCGGCATGTTTACTGGGCAGAGCCTTCTCAGCACGCTGATTCCGAAAATCATGGTCTCTAGGGTAGGAATCTTTACCGTTCTCGAGATAGAACCCTCTAAAGCTCTTACCACCCATGACCGGGCCATCCCGCTTTGACTGGGATGGCCCGGTCGATTTGACAGACCATGATTTTCGGAATCAGCCGCAGCGTGCTGAGAAGGCTCTGTGAGAAAATTTTCAATCAAATCAGGATGGCCTGGTCATGGGTGTCGAAAACTTTAGAGGGTTCTATCTCGAGAAGGGTAAAGATTCCCACCCTAGAGACTATGATTTTCGGAATCAGCGTGCTTAGAAGACTCTGTGAGCAAATTTTCAGCCAAATCTGGATGGCCCGGTCTTTGGTGTCGAAAACTTTAGAGCGTTCTATCTCGAGAACGGTGAAGATTCTAACCCTAGACCATGATTTTCGGAATCAGCGTGCTGAGAAGGCTCTGTGAGCAAATTTTCAGCCAAATCGGGATGGCCCGGTCATGGGTGGTAAGAGCTTTAGCGGGTTCTATCTCGAGAACGGTAAAGATTCCCACCCTAGAGACCATGATTTTCGGAATCAGCGTGCTGAGAAGGCTCTGTGAGCCAAGTTTCAGCCAAATCAGGATGGCCCGGTCATGGGTGTCGAAAATTTTAGAGGTTTCTGTCTCGAGAACGGTTAAGACTCCCACCCTAGAGACCATGGTTTTCGGAATCAGCGTGCTGAGAACTGAGAAGGATCTGTGAGCAAATTTTCAGCCAAATCGGGATGGTCCGGTCATGGGTGGTAAGAAATTTAGAGGGTTCTATCTCGAGAAGGGTAAAGATTCCCACCCTAGAGACTATGATTTTCGGAATCAGCGTGCTTAGAAGACTCTGTGAGCAAATTTTCAGCCAAATCTGGATGGCCCGGTCTTTGGTGTCGAAAACTTTAGAGCGTTCTATCTCGAGAACGGTGAAGATTCTAACCCTAGACCATGATTTTCGGAATCAGCGTGCTGAGAAGGCTCTGTGAGCAAATTTTCAGCCAAATCGGGATGGCCCGGTCATGGGTGGTAAGAGCTTTAGCGGGTTCTATCTCGAGAACGGTAAAGATTCCCACCCTAGAGACCATGATTTTCGGAATCAGCGTGCTGAGAAGGCTCTGTGAGCCAAGTTTCAGCCAAATCAGGATGGCCCGGTCATGGGTGTCGAAAATTTTAGAGGTTTCTGTCTCGAGAACGGTTAAGACTCCCACCCTAGAGACCATGGTTTTCGGAATCAGCGTGCTGAGAACTGAGAAGGATCTGTGAGCAAATTTTCAGCCAAATCGGGATGGTCCGGTCATGGGTGGTAAGAAATTTAGAGGGTTCTATCTCGAGAACGGTAAAGATTCTCACCCTAGAGACCATGATTTTCGGAATCAGCTTGCTGAGAAGGCTCTGTGAGCCAATTTTCAGTCAAATCGGGATGGCCCGGTCTTTGGTGCCGAAAACTTTAGAGGGTTCTATCTCGAGAACGGTAAAGATTCCCACACTAGAGACCATGATTTTCGGAATCAGCGTGCTGTGAAGGCTCTGTGAGCCAATTTTTAGCCAAATCGGGATGGCCCGGTCATGGGTGGTAAGAGCTTTAGAGGGTTCTATCTCGAGAACGGTAAAGATTCCCACCCTAGAGACCATGATTTTCGGAATCAGCGTGCTGAGAAGGCTCTGTGAGAGCTGTGAACCAATTTTCAGCCAAATCGGGATGGCCCGGTCATGGGTGGTAAGAGCTTTAGAGGGTTCTATCTCGAGAACGGTAAAGATTCCCACCCTAGAGACCATGATTTTCGGAATCAGCGTGCTGAGAAGGCTCTGTGAGAGCTGTGAGCCAATTTTCAGCCAAATCGGGATGGCCCGGTCATGGGTGTCGAAAACTTTAGAGGGTTCTATCTCGAGAACGGTAAAGATTCCTACCCTAGAGACCATGATTTTCGGAATCAGCGTGCTGAGAAGGCTCTGTGAGCAAATGTTCAGCTAAATCGGGATGGCCCGTTTCTCGCTGCTGGACTCGCTGCTCGCTGCTCGCTGCTAGTTTGACAGACGTCCTGCCCCGCGAGAATTTCTCTAGTTTCTGAAGAATTTTTCGGGACCCATGCTCTGCTCATACTGCATCCGAATATACGCGACCGGCACCGACACAGAGTACGGTGAGTAGCAGCGACAAACTCACAGACATGCGCACATACACCAGAGGCTGCGGCCGGCACCGACACCGAGTACTGCCAGTAGCAGCCGGACTGACACACACACATATTTACACCAGTCCGGCGCGGCCCTCACCGAGTAGATCAGTCACAGCCATGAGACACATTTCCCTTCTCCGCACACTCGTAGATGACTCCGTGCCCGTGTAAGAAGACATGTCCAGAATTAAGTTCATCATATAAAAACGGTCATGATCCTACATAACGATTTAATCTTGCTATGCACCTTCCCTATTCAATTACACCGAATTTCAACATCTTAGTGCATGGGCTTATTATCAATGCCATGCGAACAAAAAAAAAAGACTTAGCGTGTTAAATAGTGAAGGCTTAACCGGCTTATGGACATTTGACGTGATCTCAACTTGTTACTTATCGGAGAAGCTATTCTGTCCAGTTTGTTTTGTAAATTCCATTTACCTATAATCTCGTAGCCGGATTTCGCGTCGACTTACTAAGTTCTATTAAAGGGACCCTCCCACCTTAACATTAGATTTGAGTTGAGATAGCCAAAATGGGGTCCCTGGCTCACAATTACCGGTTTCGGCACTCACAACATCGAGAAATGCCTTAAATCGGAAATATTGAATTTCAAAATTGCAGCATTTTGATTCAGAGGGGCTAATGCTTAGGAATACCCCTCTGAATGTGTGACGTCAGCGCAAATATCTAACGATTTTAAATGTTTGACTAAAACGTTTTGTAGTACGCGGTGGTATATGCTATTTGCGCGCAACATTTGCCGCAAACGCCGCACTTCTAAAATAAAGTCGCTAGAAACAGCGGAGATACCAAAAAAGTAAACAAAAGTAAAAGTCTAATATCTTGAAAACCGGTGAATATTTTTCGGTGAAATTTGGTAGATATTCGTTTTCGCTCTTTCTGAACCGAGCGACATCACTTTCATGCCAATTCATAAACTTTTTTCAAGGTGGGAGGGTCCCTTTAATAGACGATATGAATGCCGTCAAAGGTCAAGGCAGACTAGAATTAACGTTAGTGAGCGCATTGTTCTGGAGTCGCTAGACAAACGACGGGACAGTGAGGGGAAACTCCGTCGGGCATAGAGCATTGAAGACGAGGAAAGTCATTTGTAATGTAAAGAGCGAGAATGAAAAATTTGTACGTTGGTTTCAAGAATGCTTAGTTTTACCAGTTTTACTGACTTTCATCCTCAGCCTAAGATACATTTCTTTATAAATGATGCGCAAATCATCTCTGCGTTTATTTAGCACGGTCTCAGATGGTTACTATTGGATTCGCAGCGCGCTGGTGTTTTATGGGAAGTCGATAGTTCAATGTGCATTTTGTGTCCGAATCTAACTAGCGGTTTTGAACCGATTGTGTGCTACCGCTCCGCGATGTCGGTGTGCGACCGAGTCTACAAGCGACAGCACTGCTGTGAAATGGTCCAGATTCATCGCAATAAACATCTCATCGCTTAGCCCTAAATCAAAAGCGGATCAATCATACGGAGCTTGTGTTCGCAGTAGCACAATAACATTGCATTTTTGGAATCCTCCATTAGTGTTTACCGGCGAAACTGCGCGCAAGCCACGTCTCGGCCACAAATGAATATCTCTGATTCACCGAACTGTATCCGCATCAGACAGACATGAGTATCCATAGACGATATTTGTTCAGATACTGTCGTTAGGGGATTTTTACCCTGAGATTCTGACCCTCATGGGTAACTTGTATCGTCATATGCCGACTCAGTAGCACATCTTGTGCTGTCATACTCTGACTGTTCGTAGACGATACTATGCTGTCAAGTGGTTGTCGTAGGTGATCTTCTGCAGTCATCTGATGCGATTTTATGCCATCAGACTCTGACTGTCCGTCGAGGGAGCCTCGGGAGCTGCGCCGCTGCAAGTCTGACGTGCCAGCCCGGCCAGCCGCTGCCGGCGAGGCCGGAGCCGCGCGAACCCTCTCCGATAGCGAGCCGATCACACGCCACCTGTCTCCACGCCGGCCCTCGGGCTGCAGGTGGGTAGTCTGGTACAGTCGCCGGCCCTCGGGATGCAGGTGGGTGGTCTGGTACAGTCGCCGGCCCTCGGGCTGCAGGTGGGTAGTCTGGTACAGTCGCCGGCCCCCTGGCTGCAGGTGGGTGGGCGGGTGCAACTGTTGAGTGTTGCTTTATCACTGGCTGCTGGTAGGTCTGATCAAGGCAGTGGCTGTAGGGTCATCAGGGCTGGCACAGCTGCCGACTCAGCCAGACTAACACATCGTCATATTTACAAGAATGTGTGGTTTTATCGGAGTACGTCATCGTCAGTAAATACTGTTGGGCTTTCTGGTTTCCACAAGCGAAAATATCAGGATGGAGCGCCAGTTTTGACTCGATACGTACGGACCCCTGACAATGTCTTTCCGTCACAGCGATCACCACTGGCGGCTCGAGTTCGACGTGACCGACCTTTTCATGTTCGGCGCTCCTCTCGGACTGGTGCTCGCCAGTCGGCGAATGTATCTGCCCGAGGAGAACAGAGGTACGGCCAACCAGCCAGACGGGGACATCGCTGGTTGTGTGGTTGTGGGGAGTCATCGGGAGCAAATATGCAACAGGGGACGAGGAACACTTTTGATTTGGACTGAGAATGGAACATCGCCAAGGTCGCCCAATGAGCTAAGATTTTGTGACTGAATTCACGATTTAAAGGGACTATCCCACCTTCTAAAATGTTGTTAAAACCAGTTAAATTGTGCCCGACTTTATAGATTGGATGACCAGGAACACCATTCTGGCATTTATTTTTCATTAAACATCTTAGGCTTCCCATATTCCAAACACAAACTTTCAAATATGTGACGTCACAGCCCAAAAGTACCTCCTTCCCCAGGCCACATTACTGTCATAAAGCTGATTCTTTTTACTCTGTAGGCACCACAACAAAGTTCAGACCAAGTTTTAAGCGATTTTTCAACGAACAAACCCATTTAAATCAGAATGACTAAACGAGGTGACGTCACACTAACGGTCGCTCCATGTTGAAGATAGGGCCTTGTACAAGGCCCATTTTCAAATGAAGGGAACGAATTTCTTCAACACCAAGAGGCCGCGGGGGTTGCAACATAGATAGATAGTGGTTTCTGAACCTTGCCGCAAACTTGGCTATCTCAACTCAAACCCCATGTTAAAGGTGGGATAGTCCCTTTAACTGAGTCCCGTTCATTTCCTATAAATACGCCTGACTGTATTTATGTTTCTCGGGTATTTTAAGTGGGTATGGTTGAATGACTTGGCACATTTATTTGAATTAGCTCATCTTTCTCCGGCAGTGCCGCCTCGTCCGGCGTGTCACAATGTGTACAACCTGTTCCACCCGACTAACCCGGTGGCGTGCCGGCTGGAGCCGCTGCTGTGCTCCCGGTTCGCTGCAGTGCCGCCGGCGACTGTGTGTCGGTACCACAAGTACCCGCTGGGCGACGGACAGCCCACCCACCTGCGTGAGTCGCTGCGGGCAGAGGCGGACTTTGGAGGCTCTGTTAACAGTCTTATTGTGACAAGCGAATGGAATAATCCTGCAGCACTAGTTGTGTCAAATAAACAAATTGTTTCCGGAAGTAGTTCGAGTTTTCTTTTTTGTTAAATGGTTGTCCTAATGTTCAATCAACCCTCTCAATACTATGTCTTAAAATTTAACCCGGCCCTTTTCCCCACACCACAGTGGAGTTTGTTCAGAGCAATATGCAGCTGCTGGGTGAGCCGTCTGGTGGCGAGGAGCGGCGCGCCGGCGGCGTGTTCCGGCGCGAGTCGGCCGCCTCCGTCCTCTCCACCATGTCCGGTCTGGACACACTACACCTGCACACCGTCAACCACATGGTGCAGCGGTGGTGGGGCAGCAAGCGCATCGACTACGCGCTCTACTGCCCCGAGGGTCTCGCCAGCTTCCCGGCCCAGGTGCTGCCGCATCTGTTTCACGCCAGCTACTGGGAGAGCCAGGACGCCATCGCCTTCATTCTGAGAAATGTGAGAGACAATATGTGGTATGGTCGTGATGTAGGAGAGCACTTAAGTCAAATGTGTATAGAAGTGTCGAAAGTTGGCCTTCTGTCTTCCGTCCGACGAATTGCGAAGAAAGGGTGCAGCGAAGTAGATTTTGCTTATCTTTTAAATAAGGGCATGTGTCTCTTTTCAAAATTTATATCCACTCCCTCCCTCTCCCCTCTCCTGCTCCCCTCCTGCTCTCCCACCAGCTGCTCTCCCATTTCCTCCCCCCTCCCCCAGTCCTCCCTCTTCCTCTCGCTCTCTTCCACTGGACTAGGCATCAGCATGTCGACCAGGCGTTGGCACTGCGCTGACTCGGTGAGCGATACCGCGCGGCATGTATCTGCCCGTGTGCCGGCAGCTGTTGGGTGGCGATCAGCACAGCGCCGGCGGCGACAGCCGCGACGGCGCTGCCGGTGCCCTGTTCTCCCCGGCTCAGCCGCGCGAAAAGTGGATTCGGAAACGCACCTCGGTCAAAATCAAGAACGTGACACCCAACCACCGCGGCAACGACGTGGTCGTTTGCGAGGGTGTGCCGCAAGTGCTGACGGCGCGCTTCACCTACGGACCCATCGACATGGTCTCCCTGACAGGCGAGAAGGTGGGTCGCCAGGAACGCTGAGTTACTTCTCTCTTATCTTGGACATACAGGTCATGTAGCAGTGTCATAAAACATTTTCCTTGCAGGATCTTGAAGATCGTGATTTCCCTAGCTTATGGTCACCGATGACTTTTGAAGTCCGGGCGCAATAAAATCACAACTCGTCATTTCCGACAGTGTTAGACATTACTTTCTACGTGTTATCACTAATTCTCTATCACAGGTGGACATTTATTACATGGCCGAGCCGCCGGGCGGCGACTGGCTGCTGCTTGGCACTGAGGTCTCCGACAAGAGTGGACGGGTGACCTTCACCATACCGGCGGCCAAGGCGCTCGGATACGGACTGTACCCCATCAAAATGGTCGTCAGGTGAGACCAGAGGTACAACGGGTCTTCTGTACCACACTGTTTAACAGCGGGACCGACCGAAGACCTGACTTCGTCGTGGTAAGACTCGTTCGGTGCGTGTTCTCTTCTCGAGTCTGCCCCATGTCCGATAGTAAGCGGCCCGTCTAGCAGGCTTCTGGACGGCACGCGTTATTTGACACCTTGTGTGCCTGCCTGTCGGCCAGGGGCGACCACACGTGGTGCGACTTCCAGCTGTGCGTGGTGCCGCCGCAGACCGAGTGCGTCGTGTTCAGTATCGACGGCTCGTTCACGGCCAGTATGTCTGTGACGGGACGCGACCCCAAGGTGCGCGCCTCATCCGTCGACGTCGTCAGGTCAGTGCAGAGAGACGGCTGCAGCTGTGTGGGATGTTAGCTGAGAGTGAATGGGTGGGTGTGAGAGGGTGCGAATGGATGGTTTCAACTGGTTTTGCGCATTGTGTTCGCTTTCTGGCAGTCAAAGCGGTGGCGTTGAAAAACGGTATGCTCCCTTGAGTCTCTTGCGTGCCAAATGATGCCGGTGTGATGCTTTTCAACCGGCATTTCGAGATGAGCACAAATGTACAAAATCTAACATTGCTACAGGCGACAAACTTTACAAATAAGTCTGCATTATGCCTTCATGCCGCGGGTGATCAGGGAAAAGAAAAATTTGAGCACGACCTCGGAAGGCGTGTAACAAGTTTCTACCGACAAAATATTTGCTTGTTTGGAGCAGGGTAGCTTGCCTTGGGTAGATTGTGTAACCATTGCCGATAATTCAATTATTTATCCTCCTGTGATGGCAGGCACTGGCAGGAGCTGGGCTACCTGATCATCTACGTGACGGGCCGTCCGGACATGCAGCGGCGCAAGGTGCTCTCCTGGCTGTCGCAGCACAACTTTCCGCACGGTCTGGTGTCGTTCGCCGACGGCCTGACCACCGAGCCGCTCAAACACAAGGCCGACTACCTGCGCCAGCTCGTCGAGGTGGGCACGTGACCTCGTGACCTCCGGGCTCCGCTGCGCTCGTTTCACCTCTGGTTCAGGATGAACACATCTCTAAGGTGCTTTCGGGTTTCTGTGCATGCATCTGTAGGAAGGTGTCGCCGATTAAAACTGAGTTAACGCTTTCATTTGTATCTGGTAATGAACACCTTTCGCAGTCTTTGTAATTGCTCAAAGCGGCTGCCAGGGTGTTTAAAATTCTCCAGTTTGTTCCTTATTGGGTCATATTCGTGGCCTGACAAAATAATATCGCTACCATTGGTATCAAAACTACGACGTGTTCATTAACTGGCATCATGCACATAATTCACGCATGCCCAATTATCCTAATGCACTTTAAATCCAACAGGCCAGCCTAACGTCACAATATGTTGACTTGACCTTATATGACCTAAAATGATCAAGGTAAATGCAGGGAAGGTTTTTTTTCAAGCGGACCCTGAACTAAGCATAAATACGTTTTTTGTCCCTTTCTTCACAGTACCAGTTAAAATAGGTACACGTTTTGCAAGACCTTGCGGGACAAGCACAGCCTTGACAGACAGATACCAGGAACTGCCGCATGTCCATTGTCCAATGTCCATATTATCTGACCTCACATTCGAAGGATAAGAATAACCTATCTGTGAATTAACACCCGAGCGCACAATGTAACGGATACGGCTGAATCTGACGCATGGTTTCCAGGTCATTGGGCGTGACGCTCCAGCGGCAATATGTATGTGTTATTGGAGTGGATTGGTTTGCTGGTTTTGTCGAGATGGTCCCCAGCGATCCATAAGTTACTGGAGATCAACCACCAGTTACCCTAGTGGCGTTACGCCCCCGTGTGCGAGCCACCGACGCTGGAAGCTTTTTGCCCCTAAACCGCTGCATACCTTTGGGATGTGGTTACAACCCTAAGATTTGTGTAACTAATGTAGCATTATAGAACATCGCTATCTTAACAATACAATTATACAGATAAATGTTTCGGAGTACCCGACTTCTAACTGTCCTGCCTGAAAGTAAGTCCCCGTCCTGCTTATTTTGCAGTGATGTGACGAAAACGGCATTTTAGTCGAAATATGTATATGATTGAAGTGTGGAATCATTGTTATCATATGGTGTTCCTGTGTGTTGCTTAACTTCTCATTCCTTGGATTTTCCTAAATCGCTCAATTATTGAATTCAAACATTTATATGATGGGATTCGTAACATAACGCAATTTTATGGCCAGAAATGTCGATTTACTACATGCCTATCTCTAAATGTGTGGTTGTCAAACTTCAGTGCGTTATGTATTACATCCTTTGTTGAAGGTTTGCAGCTAAATGACGTTTACTGCTCCCGACTAACTTGCACCTCATATTGAGGCCGGTCAGTGACGGCTGGTTGGCCATTCTGTGTGATCTCAGGAGTCCAGGATGATCATACACGCCGGCTACGGCAGCAGCAAGGACATCGCCATGTACGCCAGCGTGGGACTCCGACCCGAGCAGATCCACATAGTCGGCAAAATGTCCAAAAAGCAGCAGGCCGACTTTTTAGTGGACGGTAAGCGAAAAACGATGCGTGACGAGTGTCATCCTAACTTGTCCTACAGCGTATGGGCGCCGAGTATCTCACTGAAGTCCGGGCGCCCTAAAATCACAAATTATCATTTCTGCAATGTTTGTTATGGGGATTGAATACAGAATGCAGTATGCACGTCTGCTTCCAAGGCATAACATGATTTTGGGATTTGGGCTAATAAGTTGTCATGAAGGTTATTCGCTCAGTTTTTCCCATGTCATTGGGATGCCGGCCGTGCCTATAGGTTCAGAATAGTCGAAGCTTTTAGTTTTCCATTTTTCCAGTCATGGCTCACACCCAAGCAATTGCAGAAATATGTCGGGCTAGACTTACCCCTACACACTCATCCTACCCTCGGCTTGGTGTGGGTCAGATACAGATCTGTTAGTCAGCTAGACTAGTGTGTGCTGCGGGCTGGTGACAGCGCTCCTATGGCTCGTCCCGGCGGCGGTGACCCGGGGACTGCGGTGACGGGGCGACTGGTGTGCCGGGACGCTCACAGGTTATGTGGCTCACCTGGCCGAGCTGACCAGTGTCGGAGGCAGCCGGGCCGCTAAGGGTAACGCTCGCATGGTGCTGCCGCGCGGCTGCTTCGGGCTCAACCCTGCCCTCACGCGACGAAGGTGAGTGATTGACATAGCACGTCCGCCTCCTTCGGCACGATCACTTGGGTTGGGAAGTGGTGGTATGATTTTTTATGTGTAGCATCGTCACGTCCATTGCGCTACGCAAGCTGATGATATATTCTCATCACCCTTCATTTGGAAAGGAAGTTTTTTTACGAAACCGTTCAGCTTTCTAATTATTCCATAACGGGTAAAAAGCAAAAAAGTGCTTATTTTATTTTATCTTTTTCTCTTATGCATGGTGTGTGATTTTAAGTAGCTCGTTACATGCATCCAAAGTATAGTTTATCAAGACCCGACTAATAGCAGGTGGGTGTAACACATTTTGCACGGCTGCTATTTCAAATGGGTACATTTTGCATGGCGCATGCCCTCATAGTTTGCGTTGATGCCCGCTTTAGGCAATATCAGTTTATTCAAAAATACAGGAAGAACACAACTCTTAAATACAAAGGAAAATAGTCGAAAAATCGCTTAAATTTGGATTAAGCTCATATTTGTTAGTGTTGTGTTGTTCAATCGTTTCTTCCCAAAAGTAAAAAGTTCCCCCTGGACATATGTCCGATAAGAGTTGTATTGTTTCCTAGCCCGTGTGCCGTACGAGTTTGGTTTTACACAGCAGCAGGCAGCCGAGGAGGCGCCTGCCGTCGCCGTCCCGTGTGGCCGTAGCGCTCGTTTTGGTTTGCATGTGGTCCTGTCGGCGAGCCCGGCCGCCGGGGGCCAGCGGTGACGGCCGTGTCGCCCGCAGGACCACGCTCGTGCACCGGCCCACGTGGCCGGCGGCCGGCCAGTCGCTGCCGGCGCCGCCCGCCTCGCCCGGCCAGCAGACGCACTCGCCACTGCCCGTGCCGCATAGACGCTTCTTTTGGTTGGTGTTTTATACCCTGGGTGGGCTGGGGACACGCACATTGGACCTTGCAGTTGGTGTTATTGCAGTTTATTACTCAATTGCCTCCTATGTTACATTATTTGCAACCGATAGTTATTTTCACTTATTATAGAAATATCAGCTCACTTCGGCTGCTGCACCACAGACGACGAACGTGCTCGCATCTCGTGGTCCCATAGTATAGCTCGACCGTCACGGTATTCACGGTACCGCGGAGAGGGATTTCTGTGGGTCGATACTTAGCTGCCGTCACTCAAAGGGGAACACTAATGGGGGACGAAAAAACTCCCTAACATTTTGATAGATTTCAATGTCATTCTCTATTCTTTGAACTGAGATTTATCCGTCATCCGACCGTCTGTCGCAGGTCTGCCAAGCGAGCTACGTCGTTCCCGGCGACGTCGGCGTCGTCGGCCGGTCCGACGTCGCCGTCGCTGCAGCAGCCCTCCGCCAGCGAGGGTCTCTTCAGCCGACGCAGGCTGGCGCCTCGCGGCAAGACGGCCAGATAGCACGGCGCCCGCCGGGCCATCCGACGGCGTCCGTCGTCCGACTGGCGGCTGGCGCGCGCCGCGCTCCTCCGCGGCCGCGCGCCGACCGCCCGTCACTGTATACGCTTTCTCGTTGGTGTGTTGACCAACGACCTGTGGTAATGTTCAAACGCTGAGAAGACTTAAGGTATTATTTAATGCAGTTACCAGCCGGAACGTGTGCGAATTGTTGTTGACTAGATCTTGATGAGTGTTGTAGTGCAGGCGCGCTAACAGTTCAGTGTCGCTTCTGCCGTTAGTCCCGCCCCTGGCGTCGCCGTGAAAGGGACGCGCCCGCCCGCCTCCGAAGGCCAGTTTTATCGTAGCTGACATGTAGAACGTGATGACGGTCGGTGGCCCTACGACGGTCCGTGACTCATTCGACCGCAGCGATATTCTCAAATGATACTATGTGACGTTCAATGTGTGCAAGTGACAAGTTGCAACCAATGACCTCGTACTAGAAATGTACACCCAGTGGCCTCGGCCTTTTTAATTTTTAATTTCTGTCTGTGTCAATAATGGGACTTCAAAATTTTAATTGTTTCAACACAGTTCCACATGTCTTAAAGAATGAGAACCAATACAGCAATTTACTGTTACGATCCGATTTCGTTTCAAATTCACCGGCTGACCGACTAGGTTTCGAATCGCATCGAGTGATTGGGCTACGGGAGGGGGCAGTGGGCACATGACCCGTCCGAAACTCTGATGATTTTGAAACTGAATGATTTGGTCTGCAATGTAGGTAGCGTTGTCAGTACAATTATAGCTTGTAGTTTTTGTACCAATGACTAAATGTTCAGTGCCCGTGTGAAGTTCAACTTTGTCTGGCCAGTTGGTAGCGTGACGTAGCATTCTCTATTGGTTTCCCCTCCCCCCGTCTAAGCGTGTGCGGCCAAGATTCTCGGCATTCGCAAAATGATTGATAATGTCTCGGGATCACCAGTAATTATTCGGTAATGTAAGAATCCTCGCTGCGATTACAGTCGAGAATCAAGAATCATGGTTATTTGGGTTTTGGAAGACGACGTCGAGGTCTAGTTGTAGCCCACTTCTTTTTTTCAAATCAGGCACTTTCCTCTGCATCTCTTGGGTCGGTCGAGGGGTCGGTCGTTGTTTGTCTGCTCTTGGTCTGGGCCAGTCTGGGCCTCGTTTCATTAAGCGAGTCCGTAACTTTCGCCGGTTTTTGGTCTTGTATTGTAAGTGCATGTGAAGCGATACATTTATTTCCCCTTCTCCCTTCTGTTTTTACTTGCAAGATAAATAAATTCAACGATTTCACATGCACTTGCACCTTAAAAATATTTAGAAAAATGAAGTAGTGTGTAGGATAATACGAAAGAGTGCAAAGTTTGAGGTGAATTTTGATCGTGACATTGACTCTGACCTCTAGTACATCATACATCAGACATCAGACATCCTATGAGTACATCATAGGATGTCTTAGATCCTTCTCTTAGTTTCCCGCCTTTTGCAACCCATTTCGTGCATCCTGCCATCCTCTGGAACACTTCGTTTGAGGTACCTACTACAAGTGCTTTTTTCCTTTGACCTTGACCTCTGACCTTGAAAATTGACCTGAGGTAAAAAATTGGTGTTTCAGAATCGTCTTTTAACCCGCGCCCAGCTGGGGGTCCTGGATTTCCACGCCCTGCTGGGGGAGAGGGGGGGCGGGGGAAACACACACCCCCTTCTAACTCGGCTCCTGGGCCACGTAGCGATACGCGGAAGGCGGCGTTCGAAAGAACGTCAAAAATAATGAGGAAATCACTTCGGTCAATTTTTTGGTCAGGTCAAAGGTCAGGTCACCACTCACCAGAGGTCATTGAAGGCAAAATTTCGCCGATTTCCAGGTCGAATGTCGACAATTTCGAAGAAGCCAACGCATAACTCGGGAACCAATAGAGCTACAGCGCCGCGGAAAAGCGCATTCGATAGCCCTATTAACGCCCTTTCTGAATAATTCTCTCAGATTTGACCTAACGTCAACGGTTTTGCCTGCAGGGGGCAAAAACTGCAAAAATAACCGATTTTTTCGGAAAGTTTTTCTGCAATAACTTTTGACCCAAGCCTTGTACGAGCTTACTTTTACCGGCATCGTGTTCCTGTCGTCAAGACGCATCTAATGAACTATAACTTGACCTTGAAAGGTCAACTTGAAAATTTGATCTCAGGTCAAGGTCAACCTGACCGGAAAGGGTCATGTTGCATATCAAAGACTTCATAAATTGCATTTTTCTTACTAACGAACATATTCCACCGGTCTTAGCTAGGACGGTCGGTTTCTTTTGCGCGGCGTAGTTACCCGCCCTCCTCGCGAGACCGGTAACGTAAGTTGGGGCCACTAAAAAAAAGTGCTGTTAGTCTGGCGCCGCAGGATGAAAGTGAAAATAGGTCCAGTTCGACGGACGCCAATTGAGCTGCGCTGTGATCGTCAACCTCGAGAAGGCGCGGCTCTTATGGGCCTGTTCCAGCGCCTCCAGTAGAAATTCTTGACTGGAGGCTCTACCAGAGGTTTCACTGGAGGCGCTGGAACGCAATCTGGAGATTTCTGGAGATTGGCATCACATATACCAAAAGAATGACGATTGTTCTCTCTTGAAACGCAAAATTTGTTTTCAATCTTATTGAAACATTAACAAAATTATAGCAATGTCATGGATGAAGTATACCTGGATAGGACACTCCCTATTCCCCAACACTAGCGCCGGCGACCAAGCGGCCGCCCTGGTGGCGGAGCTCCGAAACATCGGCGGCGAGTGCGCCGGCGGCCGCCGCACCGGCTTGCGTGCTAAAAACGCGGTATTGGAGGCCGAAATTAGCGAACTTTAAGCTCATAAGACACGATTTCAGAGACTTCACACATATTTTAAGTTCTTTCTTATAATTATTATGGCTCCATTTAGTCACTATCACATATGGAATCATTACCTGATGCCCATAAACTGAGCCGGTATTCTTGACTTGCCGATGCAATTTATCATCAAATATCATCGTTCCTCGGCAGTCAAACAAGTTCCTATTGATGATTTAATACAAATATCAACTTATTTTCATGTTATCACATAAAACTTCACTTTATTCTAACATTGGCTCTTCGGCTGTAATCACGAACCCTCACTTGTCAGCAGAATTTAAGCAACTTCTTAAATCAAAACTGGGAAAATAATATTTTCATGACATTCCTCAATTCCTGTTCTACCAGGTTCACAAAAATTTTCATCAAAATCGGCTACAGGTAAGTAATAAACGACAAAAGTATACAAAAAGACACGCTCCGCCCATAGCCCGTAATGCTAAAATAGCGCCAGCGCCCTCGCCGTCGGGAAATCCGCCGCCGCCGCCGGGTGGTCGGAAAATCGGCGGAGTGTCCCATCCAGGAATACCTAATCCATGGCAATGTAATTTTCTTTACATTCAAGTTTAAAATAATCAGTCAAAAGTCCTTTGTTTACATTCGGGATTGTCACATGTGCGCCATAATTGTAGACCAGAGCCTCCAGAGAAAATTGGACCTCCCAACTCTCTGGAGGCTACTGGAGGTTTCTGGAGCTTTGGCGAGAGCTTTCTGGAGCTTTCTGGAAGCGCTGGAACGCTCTCTGGAGGATTCTAGAGCTTTCTGGAGCTTTCTGGAGGTTTCTGGAGGCGCTGGAACAGGCCCTATATACCGTGAGGCGCGGTACTGCACTGAGCGGAGGCCTCTTGCGCCAATGTTGCGCCAATGCTTGGATTATTTTTGGATTATTTTGCATCGCATACCCAGTCCAAGTCTCAAATGTAACAGTTTGAGTGCAAAATTTAGCAAGCACATGTAGGATTATGTATTGGGCTATTGCAAACAAATTTACCACCGCTAGATTAGCTTATTCTGAAACCGGTTTTTCGATTTTACCTAGCTAGGTAGTTTGGTGCAAGAGGCCTCGGGTTGGAGTAAAAACGCTGAACTCTAAGCACCTGTGAGTAAAAAATAAAAATTGTCGCTGTAGCTGCAAGGCATTGAAAACACTTATCGTTGCGGTACTTTAGTCGCCTTGCTATAAGTCTTTTATTGAAGCTTTATTGATATAGACCATTGTATGAAGTCCTATATCAGTTGGGCAAACTAGACCTTTGGAATCAAAATATGGAGGCATCAAAAGATTGATTCCTTATGACCATATTTGGGCATAAATGCAGACCATTTCTAACTTACCATACACATAAAAATAAGTGAGTGTTTCAAGAAGGAGCATGCCTGATCTTGAACAGAAATGCTGGAAGTATCTCCTAAGCAAAATAATATTTCTTCTATCATAACAATTTGAATTCTATAGGTAGTGAAAGGCAATCAAGGAATTGATTCACTTGAAACAGATAATCATAATATTGATTCCCCATCAGCTGGCTAATCATTATTTTGATTCACAGGTAATGTTAACAGATAGGCAACAATTACTTGCAAGAATACAGCATTTATCTTGCTATTATTCTCATTTAGTGGTATCCTCAGCACCACAACAAATACCTATAGCATTGTTGTACTTTACCTTCACTACATTTGATAACAATTCACAATTTTTAAATGTCAAGAATACAAAAACTGAAGCAACAGGTAAAAACCATATAATAAATATAAAAGCACTACAACAATGATAATCAGGGGTTTAAAAATTTCATTTTGCCATTTTGCACAAATACTAATTGCTTGGTATGCGATTCATCAGGGCTGCGGAGTCGGAGTCGGAGTCGGAGTCGGAGTCGGTCGGAGTCGACAGTTGTGACCGGAGTCGGAGTCGGAGTCGGAGTCGATATCGGAAACCCCAGCCGGAGTCGGAGTCGGAGTCACCGAAAATCTGTCGACTCCGCAGCCCTGCCAGGTGTGCGGAGTCGGAGTCGGGAGTTGGAGTCGATCGGAGTCGACATTTCTGCCCGGAGTCGGAGTCGGAGTCGGAGTTGGTTTTTGAAAGTCGGAGTCGGAGTCGGAGTCGGAGTCGCCGTAAATCCATCGACTCCGCAGCCCTGCGATTCATGATACAAAAATAACATACAGTGTGATTTCCTCAAAACAGCTTTTACGAGATGGGCAGTGCCTCTGTCTTTTTCCCATTGACAAGGCCAAAGGGACAATTTCTTAGTTTTGAGGTAACACTTTTTGCAAACCTACCACATTTTTCTACCTTTTTAAAGAAAAATCTCACCGTCATGGGCCTTTTTTCAACCGTAACGATACATTTGAAGTCAAAAGTGTACCCAAATGAATCAAAAAATTGATTCCATGCCCATATTTGGTCATGGCTCCTCCCACCAGAATCAAATTATTGATGCCTCCATATTTTGATTCCAAAAGTCTAGTTTGCCCAACTGATATTGATATCAATATACTCTGCAAAAATGCCAGTACCTGATTCACTGCCTTGGATTCACCTCAGGTATTGACCTGTAAATTGTAAAATTGAAGCAAAAACCAATAGTATTGTAATATGGGCATGGGGTTTTTAAAGGGACCCTCCAATCCAATCTGCAAAAAGGTCAATGAATTGGCATAAAAGCAATGTCCTCGGTTGGATTTCGGATTAGGTAAGATTTGGTTTGTTTTTATCAGTTCAGATTACGTAGAATAAAACTCATCAGAATGTAATCAACCACAATGATATTCGTGCTGTGATGGTGATTATCGTCGGTGCACGATTGCCTGCGCTATTCTTATATGGAACTGCATGTGCTGCTGTCTTGTCTCCTGGACTTACAAGCGTCTTCTGTGTCGGCGAAAGCCTTGCCTAATGCTCGCCCCTCCCTCCATATCGGCAGCGGGTGGAGCCGGCCCGAGTCTCGAGTGGAGACCGGCTACCAGACATCCGACCGGCTATCAGACGAGAGCAGGCGTTCCTGTTAGCCCCCGCCGCGAGAGGGTGAGAGGGGAGACGAGAGAGCGAAAGGGAGAGAGACAGAGACAGAGATTGGGAGAGAAAGAGAGAGAGAGAGAGAGAGAGAGGGGGTACTGAGTGCCATGCTGACTGGGCAGCTTCCCTGTGAAACTAGAATAAGGGTGACTATCTTGTGTGCTCAGCGCTATGACCTGAAAACTAAAATTATATTATATAAATGTGATTTATGCTTTATTGCGATGCTACTTCATCATTTTATATGATTTATTTAATTGGTATTGCAACTAACTTGACACATAATCTCAATTTGCTTGTTAATGCTCTGGCACACTGTCCGATGTGGGGCTGGAGGTCAGTGGCTGCCCTTTCAGCTGCGGATATCATTCCCACACTGGCAGCTGTGCCGTGCTCTGACCGTTGTATACTGTCCCAGTGAGAATTCTCCCACCCCAATCCAACCCAGCCCAGCCCATCGGAGAATGATGATAAGAGCATCGGATCCACTGGCCGTGTCGTGCCGCCCGCCCTCGGATAGGCAGGATTGTTTGGTTGACGCGGCCGGTCTCTTGGTCGGAGCCGGTCGCTAACGTAGCACCCTAGTTAACTCACTGTATGTCTGTGCGTGTGACTGACTCAGAGGGGATCGGACGCCCGTAGCGGCGGAGGACGAAAGCGAAGTGCAGCCGAGGCGCCGCTCTGGCGGCCGCTGACGACACGCCTGCCCCGGTGTGAGTGAGTGTGTGACTGCGCTGCAGTAGGGTAGGGGCAGCGGCAGCGCGGCGCGGCGCGGTGGGCCGGCGGCTCGCGGGCGACCGGCGGCTGAGGCCGTCAGTGGCGGTGTCTCGCAGCCCGTGTCTCTGACTCCATTGTCTGGGCTGGGCGCGGCGCCGACCGGAGCTCAGCAGCGCCCGTCTCTGACGACCCGCTCCCGGCAGGGGCGGAGAGCTGACTGACGGTGACGTCCAGCGAGGGTCGCAGTACCGCGCCACCGACAGCCCGGGGCGGCCTCAGGCGGCCTGCTGCGGCCGCCAGCACCGACAGTCGGCAGAGACCAATCTGCACCCGGCACGTAGTCATCCGTGAGTGGCCCAGCAGGCTCGTTAAGACTGTGCGCGGCACACTACACCTTTTTGCATTTGAATTCAACTATTCGCCATAACTGTTTAAGGAGCCATTTTGACAATCGGCATTGAACGCAACTATTCCAGCGTTGTGTGTTTCATTTCAGCCATTCAGCAAAGCAGATTGAACACTGAAATGAGCGATCTACAAAATAGTTTGACACGTCGCTAGACTTCGGCATTGAGCGAGCCAGCTCGGTATGACGAATAGTTTCGACCATCGACGATTTGTTTTGCACAATGCTGAACCATTCGCTCAATGTCGAGTTGTGGAGGAAGACCGCCGAATAGTTTTGCACAATGATTCTTTGTGACCAACCGCCCATTTGTAGCGCCACCTTTATGGCGAATGTGTACAAATGTTTTGCCCAATGGTCAGATTCTAACGCAAAAAAGGTGTAGGTTCTAAGTAAGCAGTCCAAGATTTCCGAGTTTTGGAGGTCCCCACCTAACTTGCAGTTTGCTGCAGCACTGCTCCTACCCGTTTGCAACACGCCTGATAACAATTATTGATGCTCTCCCCCCCCCCCCATATTTATCAAATCAATGATTTTTTTTTTAGAATGGCCAGTTATTTTTGTTTTGTTTTTCAGATAAGGGTTCTTCTGTCTTCAATGCAGCGCTGGATACTAGGTGCTGAATAAGTGTTTTGACAGCTTTGTGCAGTCCTAAGCACCGCCCTGAAGAACCATGTCAGGAAGCGATCTGGATAGGTTTATGCTGGCCTGCTCCGACCTCAATCAGCCAGCCAAATCACGGCTCTTTCAGAATCGTCCTGGACTCAAGGATATCAAGGTAAGTTGACCTGAGTTGATCCCATGCATCAGTTGTCGCCTTGGGCTGATTGAATGATGCTTGAATGGGCTGATGGAGCACCTATATAATTTGTGCATAATTAAATGCCTATTTTAAAGGTATCTGAGTGCACTTGCAGTGTGAGATCTGTTAACTCAGCCGAGTTTACCCACAAGTATCATGTAGCAACCTGTATCCATGGTCTTTCTGCTGTGTGGACATTAAGCATTATTGCAGTTCCTGGTTTACATAAGGCTGTTTGACGATAGTCCGTGTTTCAGGTGCAGTCGCGACCGACCACGCAACCAGCGAGTTTCCAGACGAGTGTCAAGGCCCGCGACTGGTCGCAGCTGGATTTGGGCGACGCCTTTAGCCAGGCGGCACCGCCACAGCCGCCGCCGTCTCTGTCACCAGCGGCAGCCCCACAATCGGTACGTCCGGATGAAATCCTTCGGTTTGTGCCTTTTTATGCAACAATGCATTGTAGTAGTCAATTTTATAGTTGCGTTGTCCAGTTTTGCGTGATAACATCCTGTGCATCCATTTGTGATTTTCCTTTTTCCGTTTACAGGTCGATGTGAAAGCCGACTCTGACTGGGACGAGTTCGATGAGTTCCAGAGCTGCCCGCCTCCTCCGGCGCCGGCGCTCTCCGCGCCGCTGTTAGCCCCGACCTCGCTGACTGGCTCGTCCGCCCTGGCGACCGCCTTTCTGCCCCCGGCAGCCGGCCTCAGTCAGAATGTACTCCAGAGCGGCCCGGTACCCAGCGACTTTGTCGCGCCGCCCAGCGCCGGGACTGGCTGGCCGCCGCAGGCGGAGCCCGTGGCAGCCGCCGCGTACACCCCTGTACCGGCCGTGCAACCTACTGCCAAGCCCACACGATTTAGACAGGGCCTTGTTCCGTTTAACGCCTACCCCAAGCACGATGGATCGCTGCTGGACCAGTCGCCCGTGGCTGAAGAAAGCGCCCCTTCACCGTACGACGGGCGACGAGGGATCTACACTCAGGAAAAGGAGATTCGGCGTCTGCCGACGTCAGAGAGTTTACCGCCTTCCGGCGCTGCTGTCGATCAGCTGTTCGCCCAGAGTTGGTCACCTTTGACTTCGAATACTTCGAATAACGCCGGACAGGGCTGGAACGAACCTGTCGCAACTGGAACACCGAACCTACTGGAGCTGGCGACACCCTCAAATCTGCCGCCTAGCGTCAGTTCTAATCAGAGCAACCCAGTCGCTGCTCCAGCCCCCAGTTTGGATGTTTTTACGGGCTCCCAGACTCCGGCGTCGGACAACTTTTCGGCGCCGCTGGTGCCACTGCAGCTGGATCTGGGCGGTGTAGCGGTGGTGGCTAAACCTGAAGAGGCCGCTGACGAGGACTTTGGCGAGTTTGTGTCTGTGGAGCGTCCGTCGGCGAGCGGCGCGTCGAGTCGACACGGCTCACTGCCCAGCCTGGACCTGCAGGTGGCGCCGGCGGCCGAGGCCGGCGAGGTGTCGCCACTGGAGCCGGACAGACGCGATACCGACGGAGAGCCGGCGGCCGCCAAGCCGGACAAATACGACAGCTTCCGACAGGAGGTGGTGAGTAATGACTGAGAGGCCGCTTTAACCAAACATTTAACATTGCTGACTGCTTTCCTGATTTACGTGCCGGATTTGCCGTGCATGAGGTCACGAGGGCGATTACTTACGAGCGGTATGTTCAATTTTGGTACGTCGATTTCATACACAATGGGTTACAGGTCATCTGGAAGAGGAAATTTCTTTTTAAAGAGTTGGGTTAAACGGAGGCTGGGTTTAGAAACCTCTAATCTTAGCCTTTTCACTGTACGTCCGCAGTTTTATATTAGTTATGCCATATTCAAGTTTGGGTTCAATTATGCTCTGAACACAAAATCGATGTTTGTCCCCACATACTTGTGTGACAAAATGGGTTGGAAACAATAGTTGTCAGCACTGCACGATATTGAAAGCATTTGTGTAAAATTTGTAAGAATATTTATATTTATAATTTATAGTGAATGAAGCCTGCAGGGCTGAAACCGGTTGTAATTGCCCTCTTCGTTACCACATATTCTGTATGTGGTGCCGCCCCCAGATGAGCCCGCCGACGATGGCCCGGTCGGCGCTGGTGGCCGAGTGGCGCCGCTGTCTGCAGGCCTGCTACGAGCTCATTCAGGAGGGCGTGGCCCTGTTCGGCTCTGTGGACAACCAGCGCACGTGCTCCGAGGTGGCTGGGTCACGCCAGGGGGCGCGCTATATGGACAGTGAGTACCGTACCGCTGAGCTCCCGGCCACCCAGGTGGGCTAGGGAAGAAAGTATGACAGGCGGTTTTCCCATGCACAATGTTTCTGAGAAAATGTCATCTGAACTCCATGTTGTGCTCGCTCTATGGTTGAGTTTTGACTTGCCGACACCGACCTGGACTGAACGGATAAGAAGACCGAGCGCACGGTTTGCTCTACTGACAATGTCGGACATGTGCGGTTCAAATGTCAGCTTCATGTCCAGCGTAACACCTAAATCTTTGCTTTTGCAACAGATTCCAGCTCGGTATCGGCGATGCAATACTTATATGGACAGGCGCACACCTGAGAGTTACCGTGAGAAAATGTTTGCACTTTGCTGGATTTAGGGTCAGTCCCAGACTGACCAACCATGCTGACAGCTGCTGGTGAAGATCCTGCTGCGGTTGTACTCCGTCAGGTGGGGAGAGGATTTTCGGTAAATTCTAGCGTCCTCTGCATACATAAGGCAGTGAGATAAAAGTATTCGTTCGTTGAATAGATCCCTTGCCCAATTATTGTCACAATGGGGTCCATTGCTTCTTCCGTACAAGGACGCTTCTAAATCGTTTTGCTGTCCACAGTACATAGTTTAATTATGCGCGTCGGGTCACTGCTGGCCGGCCTGTGTCGATGCCGTTACATTGACGAACTGTGTGTGACTGAGGTTGTACCTACTCGCCCACCAGACCTGAGCCGCGTGTATCGGGTGGCCAGCCGGATCGAGCGAGCCTGCGAGCGGCACAGTTGTGTGAAGGAGCTGGACCTGGTGCTCTCCGAGACCTGCAAGGCCTGGGCCAACCTGACGTCGTTCGTGGCCAATTCGCCCGCCCAGGTGAGGGAACAGGGTGTGGTCTCAGCTCGGTGGATAAAACTGCACGGGGACTCGCTTGTTGAGCGAGCCATTCATTGCGGAAGATGACGACGCCCTTTGTAATAGACAGCAGCGCTACGTATATTTTGATATTCTAACATTAACATTCAAGCTCAAACTTAACCCTCGCCGGACCTATTGGTTTTCTACATACGCGCCGACCGAGGGGGGCGGGCGGGTACTACCCCCCTCGCCGTTTCGCCCCTGGTGGAGCTAGTGCGTCGCGGAAAAAACGAGGGTGTGCGCCGTTACGAGACGCCGAGATTGGTACCCGATTTTAAGGTCCTAGGTCAACCGGTGACCTCTGAGGTCAGGTCAAGTGCCCCAAGTTACGGTTCAGTTTTTGGTGAATAACTTCGCAAAAAACGGCTGCAGAGCCGCGATTTTGGCAGCATCGTGTTCGCCTCGCTCAGGGGCGTCGAATGATATACTTTTTGTTTGGGTCAGGTCAACTTAGGGTGTTCATCTCAGGTCACGGTCAGGTCAGCGCCCCCAGGTCACGAAGTTGGTCGAAAGAGGTCATGTCGCATATCATTCGATTCGGCAGGTCTTCTTGAGTCCAATGATGGCTTTTCCGACTCGCTAGCTCAATTTGATCGGGAGTTATTGACGAAAAACTACTATGACCTTGATGACGTCACGCAAGGTAAACATTGCAAAAGTGACGCATCTAACCTTGCAAGTACTGCATCAAATCACGATTCTGTGTGCTTGATATAGTTGGAGATCGTTCCCGGCGCCAGAATAGCAGTTTTTATTTTTCTCCATTGGCTTATAATGGTGAGGTCACGAAAATGACCTGACCTCATATGACCTTTAGGAGAAATCCGAGATATACAAGTTGTGAGACACGTAATGAATACTAGATCCTGCAAGTTTCATTTCCCTGTGAAAGCTCCTCTGGCAGTGAGGGCGTTGCGAAATTGCGACATCTGAAGACCGTGCAGAGGTTCACTTATGACGTCATAGGTCAGTGACCTGACCTGACCTGAAAACGCGGTTGGTGTCAAAAGATCCGGCTTGAATCAAAGGTCAGGTATGCCAAGTTTCAGCTCTCTATCGCCAGTGTGTTCGGAGCTATCGCGAAAAAAAAACTGGGGGGGGGGGCGGCACCCGCCCCCACCCCTCGGCCGGCGAGGGTTAAAAATTTGATTGGTTTAAATAAAAATGATTTTTAAATTAAAGCGCCCCTCGAGTTGCCGTAACCTGACACATTTCAGGACCGTAGAAACAACCAGCGAAGATTCCCGTGTCGTGCTTATTTACTGTGGCCAGTTATAATTGACTAGCGGGATAGGTGTGTCGAATGGTTGACGACTCCTTGTTGGGGTCGAGTTTGCCTCCCGGTGGCGTTTGGGAATGATGCTTTAGTGAGAAGTTTCTTACTTAACGAGCAAAAAGCGCCAATCGTAACTCAAGATTGCCTGTAACTCTCAAGGGAATTCGTAGCATTCAAGTTTGATCGTGTTTTGTACTCCAGTGCCCAGTTCCTTATAGTTACGCTATTACAACCACTACCTTTCGAGTTCCACACCATTGATATCGATACTTAACGTTTCCCAGACTGCGTCAGAGGTGCGCGGCTGTTGGTCGGAGGTGGGCGCGTCTTCGCCAGCCTACTGCGGCGTGTGTCTGCTGCCCGCCGAGGAGGCGGCCGGTGACGAGCCGACACTGGCCTGCGCCGGCCACCAGTACCACGCGTGCTGCGCCAATCTCTGGGTCAACCGGGTGGCCGACGTGCTCCCAGCGCTACGACCCTAGTCGTGTGTAGGACTTAGCCCTAGCTGGATATCGACTATTATTTATCTGAAGTTTATGAGATTGGTTAGTCAGTTTATTATAATTTTATCTATTTAATCAATGAACCGAATGTCTATGATTTCTTCAAGTTTGTGGAATGGGCAGATCGAGTGGCCGCACATGAGTATCGGCGAGGGTCTGGAGCTGAAGCTATGTGATTAAATGGGGTAAAAGCGTCCTCTCGTTTGGGGAAAGTAAAATGATGTGTTGTGATTGAACGATATACATTCCGTGATGTTTATTCATTTGATGTGCACCTGCTTGTCGGAAATAAGTGTTGAGTATTTATTGAGCATTGTCAAAAATCGGTCATAAGTGAGTATAAATACTGGAAACGATGTCCTCTAATAAACGGACTACATCGGTCCAAATTAACGAAACAATTGACTGTTGTCTTTGACAGGCCTTGAAAGGCTGAATAATGAATACAGAAAAAGTACCGCTGTTTATTATGTAATGTAAAGACCATAGATCCATAGATGTTTAGCTGATGTTTCACATTTTATAAGGTGCTGCACGATTACGTGGGCTTTCTTTCTTTGGACTTTCTATCTGGAAGCACAGTCAGTTCACGGAGTCACTCACTGGGGCTGAGAAAAAATCGCCTGGTCTATCAGGTTATAATTCATTCATGGCCATCCGGTGTGTAAATCATGGGTATGCCCTTTCAACAGCCGTCCGTTCGCCACCCTTGAATGTTCCCAAGAACAAGCTGGATTCGCAATAGAATTCATTACCTGTACTTTTGGTTCCTCACTCCCGCTACCGTGTGACATCAGCTGTCACCGGAGTTAGCGAGATCGACCTCTACAGTTCATGTATGTTTGTTCCGAATATGTTTTTTTTTCGGCTTAACCGATTATTTTTGCGGTGCATAGCTGGATAGGGACTAACAATTTTTGCTAGCCATCGACTCGAAAGACGGGCGCTTCACCCGATAGGTAGGTCACACGAAGGACATGTAGACTGACAGAATAGAAATGTTATTGCAAAAGCTCATGAAGGTCCGTGAGTAGGCGGCTGCAGCTTTCCTCCCCAATCAGCGCCCCTCTCGAGTAGCACCGGGTGGTCAATTCGGCTCCGAGTGCACCTCAGCGGTGGCCCGGCAACACAGGAGTGGCGCTCTGGCCTTATTTGGGGGCAGGCTGCGACATGGCAGGCTGCAGAGTCACATTGGAATAGTCGTTACGCAACGCCCAGCGCTTCCTGCAAGGTAAGACAACACGAAAGCCGTTACGAAATGCCCCACGCATGAGACCTGCCAAATACTCGGTCACGGGTCACGGCATAGTGCATGACAGCAGTTGGTTCGGCAGAGCTCTTCCCTCAAAGAATTTGACGCTGAGCTGGAATCCTTTTTATTGAGTATCTTGAGACGGTGCTTGAAAAAAGACATTTGACAGCAATCCACAGTACACATCCTGTGCCATGACGGTGCTCAAGCATAGATATTGATTTTTTTTTTTTGCTGGTAGTTATGTGCACGGGCGTAGGAACGTCATGAAAAGTGGGTGGGCCACCCTGTCAAGGGGCCTCCTTTTCCAGGGGGCCTCCTATTTTCAGGGGCCTCCAACTTTTGCCTCGTCCTGCTGGCTGCTTTCAAGTATGACCTCCAAATCTAGCTTCTGAGCTCGGGCAGATGTACCCAGGGGCGTAACCGCTTAAGCGAACAGTGCGGAAAGTCCGCGCACCATTTTTAAAACTTATTCCCCCTCCGATTTTTTAGAATCTATTTCCCGCAAACGGCGCATGACCCCTGAAAACCCTTACACAAATGTCACCCTCGTTTCCCAGGTGCCCCCATTAGCTTCATAGGCGCCCTCTTTGGCATATAAGCGCCCTATGTATAGTCATCAGAGACATCCCTATATGTCCCACAGTCGCCCCGTTGTCGCATACAATGTGCGCTTATCATAGACGTCTCTCTTTTATGGACACTTGAAGGCGCCTCTCTTTGCCATGCCGGCGCTCCTGTTTCTTATGAATGCACCCCCAGGCCCCATGGCAATGATCAATTGCAGTCTGCAGATCTTTATTGCATGTGGACGCCCATATATGTAGGCTTCAGAGGCGCCCCTCTTTCGCATTGAGGCACCCCTATGGGCTTCATAGGCGCCCCTCTATTGCACGTAGGTGCCCTACTGTCTCAGAACCGCTCCCCTTTGGCATGCAGACGCCCATCTTTCGTACGGAGGAGCCGCTGTGGTTCTTAGAGATTAGACTTAGAGGTGCTCCCAGACGCAGATGGGGCTCTCGGAGTCGACAGTGTGGGACCTTCAGTCGCTGATGGGTGCCCGCCAGATGTGGACCCTCGGAGACGCCGGTATGGGGCCCTCAGAGATGCCGGTATGTGGCCCTTAGAGACACCGGTGTGGAACCCTCAGATACTTCAGTGTGAAGCTCTTACAATTGCTGGTGTGGAGCTATGAATGCGCTGGCTTAAAGGGACAGTATCATCGAAAAAAAAATCAATGTATGGAGCTGATTTTTTTTTTACTAGCATTTCTTGTTTTTCTGAATCAGAAAAACATAGTTTGAGGACCGAACTCGGTGAAAAATATTGCAACCACATTTCATTTTCATGATTCATTTTCATGAGCGAACCACCACTATACAAGCATGGCCGCCAGTTTGGAAGCATGCAAAATTACTACAGAACTGGCGCAGATAATACATTATTGACGCTACGCTTACGCGGTCGTTCTTCTGATTGAGTTGTCCTTACGGAGAGGTAGCCTTAGGTATTTGTAGCGTGTCGCACTCACTTGTATTTGCTTCCCGATCAAGATAACACTTCAGTACAGGTGCCGCACTCTCTGCGCTCGGCTCCGATCACACACTGCCCTGCGACCGGTCAGCGACCTCCGCCGGCAGGCAGATAGGCCCGCCCTCTACGATCGAACACCGAAAGTTGCAGTTCTTACTCTTAACACTAGTTGAACGCCTACATATTGCCTATAAAAATATCACGTGACAATTGGAGGGAGTGACAATTGGACGTGACAATTGACAATGGGAGAAAATATCACGTGACAATCACGTGATAAACGTCATACATTGGAGGGAGATTGTGATTCAAGCTGGAGGAATTCCTTTGTTGAGCCGCTAGAATCCGAAGGAAACAGCGGAAATTGCCTACGACTATTTAATGAATTTAACGGTGATGAATAAGTGCGAAAAACGTTTTGGCTTTATAAAATTTGATGAAATGACCAGGGTAAAAGTTTTATTACTGGCGGTCAATTCAAAACGGCGCAAACATTTAAAAAGTGAAGATAGTGAAGCACGATTCAGCACGATTCAAAGTGTGGTACACCTTTCGTACTTTGAGCGGCGATAGCGGGATAACGGTGTGGAGCTTCGAGGATCGGTCTTCAGTTCCCGGACCAGAAAGGTGGGGCCTATGCAATGTCAAATTTCATCAAAATGGTGATACTGTCCCTTTAACCCTCGCCGGCCGAGGGGGGGGGGGGCGGGTGCCGCCCCCCCCATAGGGTTTTTTCGCGATAGCTCCGAACACGCTGGCGATAGAGAGCTGAAACTTGGCATACCTGACCTTTGATCCAAGCCGCATCTTTTGACACCAACCGCATTTTTGGGTCAGGTCAGGTCACTGACCTATGACGTCATAAGTGAACCTCTGCACGGTCTTCAGATGTCGCAACTTCGCAACGCCCTCACTGCCAGAGGAGATGTCACAGGGAAATGAAACTTGCAGGATCTAGTATCCATTATGAGTCTCACAACTTGTATATCTCGGATTTTTCCTAAAGGTCATATGAGGTCAGGTCATTTTCGTGACCTCACCATTATAAGTCAATGGGGAAAAATTCAAACTGCTATTCTGGCGCCGGGAACGATCTCCAACTATCTCAAGCACACAGAATCGTGATTTGATGCACTCCTTGCAAGGTTAGATGCGTCACTTTTGCAATGTTGACCTTCCGTGATGTCATTTATGACGTCATCAAGGTCATATTAGTTTTTCGTCAATAACTCCCGATCAAATTGAGCTAGCGAGTCGGGAAAGCCACCAATGGACTCAGGAAGACCTGCCGAATCGAATGATATGCGACATGACCTCTTTCGACCAACTTCGTGACCTGGGGGTGCTGACCTGACCTTGACCTGAGGTCAACACCCCAAGTTGACCTGACCCGGAAAAAAGCATATCATTCGACGCGCCTGATCAAGGCGAACACGATGCTGCCAAAATCACGGCACTGCGGCCGTTTTTTGCGAAGTTATTCACCAAAAACTGAACCGTACCCTGGGGCACTTGACCTGACCTCAGAGGTCACCGGTTGACCTAGGACCTTAAAATCGGGTACCAATCCCTGCGTCTCGTAACGGCGCACACGCTCGTTTTTCCGCGACGCGCTAGCTCCACCAGGGGCGAAACGGCGAGGGGGGGTCGTACCCGCCCCCCCCCCTCGGCTGGCGCGTATGTAGAAAACCAATAGGTCCGGCGAGGGTTAAATCGCTCAGAGGCCGGTACATGGACATTAGAGCTCAGTGAGAGCTTGTGTGGTGCCTTCAGTGGCCTTGTGGAGCCGTTAGACATCAACATGGTGCTCTCAGGAGCCGGTGAGTCCTCGGAGTCACTGGGGGCCTTCAGAGCTCCGAGATACTGGTGTGGGGCCCTCAGAGGTGTCGGTGTGGGTCCTTCAAATGTACCTATAGAGCCTTGAGATGCACAGGTGTGGTGGCCCACAGAGGCGCCGGTGTGGGGCCCCCAGAGCCACCGATATAGGGCCCTAAGAGACACTAGTATGACCCTCAAAGGCGCCGCTGTGTGGCGCTCATAAACACTGGCGTGGAGACATCACAGGCGAGTGGAGCCGTTAGAGGCCGGAAAGGGCCCTTAGATGCCTACAAGGAGCCTTCAGAAGCCGGCGTGGCATCCTTATGGGGATAAGCGTGTCTACTTAGGAGCCCTTGAGGTGCTCTCATGAGCTCTGTGGGGCCCTACCGAGCCGTAATATGGCCACGGCCAGTTGCCGCCGCATGGCTCTTCGGACTATCATTCTCTGGGGCCTCATCTGCCTAGTTTGAATAGAAGGGCCTCTCAGACCATCAGTCTCATGGGCCTCCTCTGGCTAGTATAAATAGAAGGGCCTGTTAGACCATCAATCCTAGGGGCCTCCTCTGGTTAGTATAAATAGAAGAGCATCTCAGACCATTAATCTCAGGGGGCTCCTGTAGACAGTATAAATAAAAGGGCCTCTCAGACCATAAGTCTCAGGGGCCTCCCTAGAAAAGTGTAAATGTGGATAGAGGGTCCCCTCAGATTCATTTGGAGTGGACCTCTCTGACTATCAGTCTCAGGGGCCTCTTGTGGCCAGTATGAATATAAGAGCCTCTCAGACCATCGGTCTCA